AGTACAGGACCTCCTTAATGGATCGTGGAACCAGAGGTCTCACTTCAGATTGCACCAGGCCATCCTCTGGACTTTTTCTTAGGTTGTCTGTCCCAAAGATCCGGGAGACGTAACCACACTCAAGAGTGTAAGTGTTTACCCCTAACCTGTTTGGCTCAATGGATAGAGCGTCGGCCTACGGACTGAAACACCCCCGGTTTAATTCCGGTCAAGGGCACGTGCCTTGGTTGCGGGCACATTCCCAGTAGGAGGTGTGCAGGAGGCATCGGACTGATGTTTCTAACTCTCTATTCCTCTTCCTTCCTCTCTGTAAAAAAATCAATAAAACATTTATTTTAAAAAGTATAATTGCTTCTCTCTCTCAAAGTAGAATTCTAGCCAAGTGTCATTTAGGGCGGATAAGGCCATCAACCCTGTGGTTGGTAGAGGCTCGCTGGTTGTCTATTAATTGTGTAAGATGTGAGCAGCTCACAGTGAAGCTCCAGGCCCTTCTTCCACACCTAATAACAAAGGGTCCTGCTTTACCTTAAAATCTCACAAGTCTCCAGCAATACGAACAGCAGCTTGCTTATTGTTCTGCCACAATAGCTTACACTATGGGTGCTAACAGTTTTGAACCTAAACTGTATGGGAAAACTTGGCTTTTCATCAACTGTTACTTCCAGGTGAGCTTGGGTTGTGGACAAGTTCAGCCCAAATCAAATTCCAATTTTATTGTGCACCGGGCACTGCCCTCAGATTCTGAGCGAGCCCTTCTGGGGTGGTGTTCAGAAGTCATCATTTCAAACAAGCACTCCCAGTCGGTGAAATACTGGTCTTAATAACCAACAGTAATAAACGGGGGTTCTTTTATAGGTGGCTTTTCGTCATGTTTTTCTCAACTTGCCAGTTTGTCTAAAATGAATATATAGCTGGCTTATTTGATTAAAAAGTTTATGATAAAGTTCAATGATTGCTGGATGTAAGGATTACTAGGAAATGTAACGGGAAAAAGGTCATATTCATAGTAAAAACAAAAACTAGTTTACCTGGAATCCTAATATATAAAAACTCTGGGTCATAACAACCAGTCACGATCGGAGGCTGACCCACCGTAAGTCAGTGCTGGCCCAGACCCCAAGCAAGCAGTTAGGGGCAATCAGGCAGGCAGGCAGGCAGGCAGAGTGGTTAGGGATGATCAGGTAGGCAGACCAGCGGTTAGGGGTGATCAGGTAGGTAGGCCAGTGGTTAGGGGCGATCAGGTAAGCAGACAGTCCCTCAGAGGGCTGGCCCTGTCCCACAGCAAAGAAAAGAGGGAGGCTCAGGCTAGCCAAGCCATTGCACCCCAGCCTGTCACCTGTAGAGGTAGGCCACCAATGGCAGGGGAGGCAGGGCAGCACCGCACAGATGGCAAGCGGTGGCAGCCGCAGAGAGGAAAGCCCCGATAGGCCCTGATCTCAGGCCAGGCCTAGGGGCCCTACCCGAGGGTCCCAGACTGTGAGAGGGTGCAGGTCGGGCTAAGGGACCCCTGCTCCCAAGTGCACACATTTTTGTGCACTGGGCCTCTAGTAAGTAAAAAAAAGCTGTGTGAAACCAGTAGAGAGAAAACTGTAGAGCTCTGAGGAACATTACAACCCTAAACATATATATATATTTCATGTTCATAAACGAGAGGGACAAACTTTTCACCCAAACTGTAACTTCTCAAATTAATCCACATATTCAAAGCAATTCTAATAAAAATACCAACAATGTTTTCATTGAACTTGACACGCTGATCATAGGGAAGACCAGAGGAAGTCTAGGTAAGGCAAATTGTAAGGACAAAATGTTATTAGCTCACCAGACAGCAAAGCCTAGACAGCTGTACAGTAATGAACGTGGTACTGGCTCAGGACAAACTACTACTGAGACAGGAAAGGGAACCTTAGCAGCAAGCATCGCACAGGTGGCACTGTGTGAGGGAAGACAGGCTAACCCTATCAGAGAACTATCACTCTCTTTTGGTTCCAGGATAGGGAGGGGACAATTTCAGAGGCCAGTAGAGACTTAAGAAAATCTAGTCCTGTCTGGAGATTTCCCAAGCTTCTTAGAGGCAAGGACATAACCGACACCCTAGCCGATGACTTCTAGGAGACTCAACACAGGTATTTTTGTACTTCTTCCAATGAAAAGCTCCATGGGGGCCTGGCCAGCATGGCTTAGTGGTTAAGCATCTACCTATGACCAGGAGGTCAGGGTTTGATTCCCGGACAGGGAACATGTTGGATTGTGGGCTCAATCCCCAGTAGGGGGTGTGCAGGAGGCAGCCGATCTCTCATGGATGTTTTTCTCTCCCCCTTCCTCTCTCTGAAATCAATAAAAAAAAAACAAAAGAAAAAAAAAAAAGAAAAAAAAGTGAAGGATAAAAATGTAAGTATGATAATAAATTATCCCCACACAACCTATATTTTTAAGCAATTTATTTCAATAGAAATATTTCAGAAAACTGTAAATTCGTTTTTAAGTTAGCGTATGCAAACACACTGAAGATCTCACACTCACATTTGCATATTAAACAGAAACAAAAAGTGAGAGGAACAGAGCTGCACGTCACTCAGGGAGGTCCTAGTGCAGCCAAGTGCTTTGTCATGAGTACGCAAGCTCACTGGGGTAAAGGGTAAAAATGGCTTGTGTTGTCCTGCATATAATCATCACTGGGCACTTATCCCCACAGATGTTGACCTCCTCTAGATTACACTGTGGATGGTCCCTCACCCCCCAAACACACTTCAGTAGCCTGTACAACAATGAATTTGTCAACAACAAAAGTGGAGAAACTATTAAGAACCTGGTGACTTCTTATGAGCTATGCTGTCAGACCTAAGTCAATAGTTACCGGACTATCTTTGTGAATAGTTCTAATAGGCGGTATCTTGAGGGGAAACGTAGTATTTCTGACCTAGTATCTAAAGCATGGCTAATATTTATGAAGTTTTCTATTAAAAAAAACCTATTTTAATCTCAAAGCACTCTAATTATGTATTCTTCGAATCTCATCACTACTTTGCAGTCTAAATGACCAGATCAAAATTTAAATTCTGCTAATTATTAACCCTCAAGGACCAGTGAGTTGACCCTTCATGTGGCTTTAAAGACCATGTCTACTTGCCTACTCTGGAACAGACGAACCCTTTCATATTTGTGAAAACAGCATCCGGACTCAGTTGGACAACAGTAGTAATCATAGAGGAGCAAAGTGTTTCCAAGCTTCGCTTTCCCTGGGAAATTTCGTTTAGTCTTTTAACTTCCCTTTAATTTGTATACTGGAGCTGTTTTCACGTTCCCATCATAATGTTTTCAGGTGAACAATAACTAGTAGGTTAAGTGACTGCTTGTTTGTTCTGAGTCTTATTTAAATATAAGAATGAACCAAACGAAACCTCATTTCTGACCAAAAGGATTCTTATCACAAGACTTCAATAGCTTCCATAAAACCCACATCTTCCTGGCTGATTCATATTCTTTTAGAGATTTCCTGAAAGGCCTTATAATTAAGTGTATGCTCAAGACAACAACCACCACCACCACCACTGAAAACATCAACACAAAATAAACAAACTCCGTGACAGGTGCTCTTCCAAGTTGTTCTTACGGGCGCTCGTCCAAAGGGCGATTTGGGTGGATTTATTTTTAATCTCCTGCCTGGAAGGAAAGGAGCAGGAAGGAAGCTTGTCTAAAAAGACTCAAAACCAAGGACTGCAACAATTACCTAGGAATATCTACACAGACTTTCTTGGATGGGATGTGAGAGTGAGCTGGTGGAGAGAGGGGCACACACTCCTGAAACAAAGGAGGAAGAGGGCCAATGATTACTGTCATACTCAATGCCTATAATTGGTCTTCAAACTGATAAGGCACTGACCAAATTTTCCCCACACTACAACTTGAGATACTGTGAAATGAAACTGCTTTCAATAAGCTTAAGAGTTCAAACACAGAGATCTCTTTCATTAGAATTCTCTAAAGAGAGAAAAAAAAGTCACTTAGACACAAGCCATTTTTGGGGAGCAAAAGGCAAAAAATACTTGAATCATTTTGAAAAGGCTGACTTCACATGAAAAATAATTATCATCTATGTGATTAAATAACAATGTTTGTCTCTGAAAGCTTAGGAAAAAAACAAACAAAGTATCACTCTGGTTGTAAAACCTTTGAAAGAAAAAACTACAAAAACAGAGAAAATAAAAGCAAATCCGTAAAGATCACAAAGTCAGGCAAACCTCACCGTCTGTTCATGCATCAGCAGCACTAATACTGTTCCACCGGACACGGGCGAATGCATCTTCCTTCCCAAAAAGGGATCCAATTATTTTGAAAGCCTTTGAAGCAGAGGATTTCTGTTATGAAAGATTCTCTTCTGCTAAGCAACACTGGCGCCCCTTGTTTGCAGAAGATAATGTGGCAGTTTGAACACTGGTTGTGAAGGAATGTGCCTCAAAAAACAGGAAGCATGTCAACAGTGGATATCATCTTTACAGAAGTGGATGGATTAAATCTGTTTTAATTCCCAGAATTAATATGATGCCTTACAGTTTTGTTTTCAGTAGCAAAGACATAGAGCTTACAGATTTAACCTAAAAAAAGGGGGGTGGAGTGGGGAGGAAAAAAGACCTCTGCTCAAGTCATTCGCCAGGCAAATTTTAGTAATCCCAACAGATCAACAGACTGGCCTGCCCTGAGAGGGCTCCTGTTCCAATTAATCTACAGAGTGTGTACACTATACACTGTAAACATTTTTTCCTTCCATAACTATGGTGCTCCTTGGTCTCTTTTATAAACCTTCTAGAAGAGGAATAAAGCCACTTATAAAAACTTTGCAGCTATAAACATGGTAACTCTTGATGCACAGAAACACCGAATACCAGAACAGTCCACACAGAAGGTAGTGCAATGGTCTATGGCGTTTCCCACACAGGAAAGACATCTGTCATCGGAGCACAGGCCTAGGGAGAAAAAGCATTCAAACTCAAACTATTTCCATCCCTTTTGGTAATGTTTACACAAATGACATTTACACAGCAAAGAGAATGAAATAGGAAGGTGTCTTTGATCAGTTCTCTTTCAATTCTTACATTTTGGAGGTTACAGTAAAAAAATAACTCTGAAAAAATAAGCAGAGCCCAAACACACAGGGGGCATAAAACCAAAAATAGTGCTCATTATGCAGTTATTTTTATAGTTATATTTTAAAAACTGGTATGTTACTTCCATATGAAAAATAAACTTCTGTTCAAATAAACTGTTACATGAGTTGTGTCTGAACTGTATTCTGGACAATATTATATTCTACTATCCTGGGCCATATAACACACCAACCATTCATCTTAACATAAACCAGCTTAAATTTAAACTTTTGTTTCTATGAGCTCTTTTAGGCTAGGAGAGAATCAGATGAACTTAATATTGATGGAAATTTCAAGCTTATGAGTCACCAATTTACTAATTTATAAAGGGCAGGCCTAATCAGAGAGAAATGAATTTATCATCCCACTAATAAACATTCTGGTGACAAACTTTCTTTGCATAAAATTATCATCAGATATCAATTGGTGAATAACAGATAAAAGATTCACTTAACAGCAGTTTAATCCACTTTTCTCACTGGTTTCCATTTGCTTCAAATGCTAAAATAATCTCAAAAAGCAATGACTAATCTTTTGAATGAATAAATTTGAAGACAAAAAACAAAAAAACAAAACAAAAAAAACAATGGCAACTTCTATGCACACTTATGTTAAGAGTTTCAGACAAAAGGGCTGTTTACCAAACTGAAAGCTATTCTTCGTCTGTGCAGGCATCCATTCATGTTTAGAGCTGAAAACATCAAACACATCTTCCAGTCTAGCTCCCTCTTTGGCAAAACATCAGGCTCTGACTTCCAGGTGCCCACCTCCACAGACGTGGTTCCTCTATGACATATCTACTGTAGCTTATTTACGACAAACAAACAAAGCAATAATAATAATAAAAAAAATCCACAGGGTTCTCATCCATAGTATTTTTTAAAAAGCACATACACTATTAAAAACATTTCTTTCTGAGGAGAAATAAACAAAGAAATAAAAAAAAAATGCAAAACAAAAGTGAGATGTGCAAGGTCTACACAGTAATACTGCTGGCTCCGCAGGAGGTGTCCCTCCGTGCACCCAACGTGGGCCAAGCGCAGGAGGCCGGTAATTTAAACATCACTCAGCACAGGCAACACTGTCCTCTCCAGCCCGTGTCATCGCTCCCCACAAAGCCAGAAACCAAGGCATTTCTAACTGCGCTGTTTGAGACAAGTATCTGCACTCTGCATGTCCTCTGGAAACAGACCTAAATGGAAAAAACTCAGTGCTCAGAGAAAGCTCTTCTACTGCCCTATGAATGGACTTTTAGCTAATTAGTCTGTGGACAATATTTTCTATTGAAGTTTCATAGATTCAAGAATGAAATACTTATGGTAAAAAAAAAAAGTACAATGTTTTCTAAGAATACAAATGCAAGTGATTTTATGTGAGGCCTAAAGCCTGGTGGAAGGTATCAGACAGAGGCGTTCTTACTCTGGGCCAGTGCTGAAACCTATGATGCCTCTTGAGTTTATAACACCCGACGTAGCCTTTGTTCAAACGCCAATATCTGTTAAAACTCTAAGGCATCTTATCTTCAATCTTCTTCTTATTTTTTTTAGTGAGTCAACATTTATTTTGGAATTAAATGCATTACTGCATAGAAGAGCCCTCATAAAACTACTTGGTCAACTACTGATTTCATGGCAGGGACCTATACATAATAGTAAGTTTTCAGGAAAATGTTTTGCAATAAAGAAAAGTTGTATAAGGAGAGTTCTGATACTTTAAATTCTCAGAATCTCAACTTTTTACCTTTTATACTTTAAAATTACTTTTGTAGGCCTTAGAATTAAATGAATACATACATATATGGAATCTCTCTTAAACAAATGTGACCCTGAATCTCATATTGAGCAAAAATAATGAAAATGAATAATAAAAATAAAAAAACAACAACTGGCATTGTGCACAATGAACAAGGTAAAGGAAAACATCAGTTTATCTCCTTGGTGATAAAAACCACCTGTGACTGGTAGAAGAGAGAAATCAACTAACGTGAAAAAGTAATGACTATAAAATCTCAAGGAAATTTAGGTTGGGATGCAATCCCCAATACGAAGATCTGTGGCCCAGCAATGCATTCATATAGAGTCTAACCTTAAACACAGTTAGAAACAACCATGCTTTCTGGAGCCCCTGTGAGACGTGTCTGGCAGGTGAACACTCGGCCTTTATACCCCTGCAGGAAGTCGTGTTCCCCGTACAGTACTAAATCTCTGAAGTTTAGTGTTTAAAAATATCTTTCCTCATCTAAAACCAAACAAAATCCCTCCGTAAGTCCCAAACAAAGTCCCAACAACTCACATTACAATATTTCTAGGCCCTCCACTCGTGCCGTGAGAGCACGAGGCCGCAGGCGAACGGAGGACAAACGCACGCACGCTCGGGGAGGCTGCTGGCCGAATGCTGCTTGTCAGACCTTTACACTCCGGTCCAAAACCAGCTCCTCATGTAACCCATGAGAATGACGTTTTTCCTTTTTAAAGTCTATCTGAAAAGGCGATTCCCCCCTCCAAAATTAATACAAAGTTAAAAGAAATGCAAATGAGCTACGATCTATTCCAAGCACAGCACCGCCAGGAGATCGATCACACACACTATTTGGTGTTTGATGTTGGTTTTCCTTGCGTTCTTTTAAGGCAGTGGTTTCCACAGGTCAGTTCAGAGATAAGAAGCGTGGTCCATGGCAGTTTGTTTTGCAACTGCAATTGGTTCTCTGGGAATGTCTCACTTCATTCCCTAGTGCTTTTTTGGTTCAGAATCCGGAGGCAAAAGGGAAGCTTGGCTCCCCTGGCACAGGACTGGTTTTTGCTGGCGCTGGTCCACCAGGGCCTCGCTCCCTCTGTGGAGCAACAATTCACCTCTCTTCTTTCTTAGGCTTTTACTCAAAAGTCATCAAGTTTGTAGGAACCTAAAAAATACGAGCATTACAAAACAACATTATTTATTTTGATTAAAATACTCGAGTCCTGGTGCATGAAAATTTGTGCATCGGAGGGGGTTCCTCAGCCTGGCCCGGCCTGCCCCCTCTCACAGTCTGGGAGCCCTCGGGATGTCCTACTGACGGCTTGAGATAAAAAAAAAAAAGTCACAATCTGGCCTCCCTCTGAGAGAGGTGACTGAGCCAATCGGTGGAAGGTGCCACCTCCAACACCCCACTGCTGCCTCCGCCGCCACTGCTGGCCCTTGCAGATACCCAAAGTAGCCTTTTATTATGCACGATATACACTGAATGGCCAGATTATTATGCAGCCCTTGCAGCTGCTGTGGTTTTGTTTGGAAGGATGTTTGGTCTATCCAGTCTAACATATTAGCCTTTTATTAGTATAGATTTTTCAATTACAATTGATGTTCAATATTATATTGGTGTCAGGTGTACACCCTATGATGAGACATTTGTATAACTTATGAAGTGATCCCCCAATATTTCCAGTACTCACCTGGCACTGTCCATACTTACTAGAGTATTACTGGCTATATTCCCTATGAGGTATTTTTACATCCCTATGACTATTTTGCAACTACCAATTTGTACTTCTTAATCTCTTCACTGTTTTCACCCAGCTTCCCTCTGGCACATGTCAGTCTGTTCTCCCTATCTATGAGTCTATTTGTTTTATTTGTTCTTTTGTTTTTAGATTCCACATATAAGTGAAATTATGGTATTTGTCTTACCCTGTAGGTCCATTCACAAAGTGGTAGCATTTAAAAGTTGTCTTTCAAAGTACTATTTCTTTTTAAGTGAGCCCAAATGTTAAAATCTTTCTGACCTAAAGTATCTTTTTAAAAAAATTAAATATATTGGGGTGACAGTGATTAATAAACCTATATAGGTTTCAAGTGTACAATTCTGTATACACTGAGTGGCCAGATTATTATGATATCTGAATGCATAATAATCTGGCCACTCAGTGTATACCCTACATAATAAAAGGCTACTATGCAAACTGACCCCTCAACCAGGAGTTTGACCAGCAGGCAGGCTGGCCAACTGCCCATGTCCCCTCCCCCTGGCCAGGCTGGCCAGGCCCCACCCATGCACGAATTCATGCCTCTAATACACACACACTCTGAGTGGCCAGATTATGCATTCAGAGTTCATAATAATCTGGCAATTCAGTGTACATCATCTGTATATTACATTCTGTCACATATATGTGACGCCCTTAAAGTATCTTTTTTTTTTAAAGGTTTTTTTTTTTTTTTATTGATCTTTATATGTAAGAGTGAAACATCAATATTATGTTTATATCTTTTCAACCAATTTGTGGCTCAACTTTATTTATTAAAGTATATATTATTGATTTCAGAGAAGGGAAAGGGAGATAGAAACATCAGTGATGAGTGAGAATCACTGACTGGTTGTCTCCCGCATGCCCCCTACTGGGGATCGAACCTGGGACCCTTCAGTTCGCAGGCTAATGTACTCTTTATCAAACCAGCGAGACTGTGTCTCAACTTAAACCTGTACTAGGGATTGGAGAAAACAACACTGTGAATTTATTCGCCTTTGCAGCTGAAAGCCTTTGTTTCAGTAAATTAAAAACAAAAATATCCAAATGGTTTTGGGTTTCACTGCAACCACAGAAACCCACATCAGCCTGTTAGTAGAACAAATAAAGATGAATAAGAATGAATTTTATTAATTTGAAGTGCCCCCCCTTTTTCGCCACTCTAAAACTACATTCCCTTGCTTCTCACTATAGTCTTCTAGTCCGGGCTACATATTCTTATTCTGAACAACTGAAGCTCATTGCAGCTTCAAGGTCTTTGCACCCGCTGTTCCCCCTAATTTTCACGTGGCGGTTCCTTCTTGTCATTCATGCCAATGTCATCTCCTCAGGGAGAGGTTTGCTGCTCTCTCTTATTTATGTAATGTTGTCTCTATTCCCATCACTCTGCATCACATAATTCTATTTTGTTTGCTTGTATAGTTTTCACTATTTGAAAGTTTGTTATTTGTTTATTGCCCATCTCTCTAAAATGTGAATTTCATGCCTTGTTGACTGATGTCAACAAGAAAAAGAATAAGAATAAAAACATATTTCCCCACTCCATTCAGAAAATTAGTCTACTTCTCTTTGGAACTCTTAAATACATGCCCGTTAGAGACTATTTGGGGATTAAGAGAAATGCTCACCTGTTGTTTGTTACTTTGGCAGGCAGCACTCAAATGCTTAAACCACAGCATTGCATTCATCCTATTGCCAGCTTGAAACTTGTATGAATTTCCTAAAATCATAAAAAAACAAAGGGAAATAATAAAAGCTTAAGGACTCTGACATATAATAATTCTGCCAGCTACCAAAGCAAAATAAAATAAGACTAGAGTTCTCCATTTCAGAAGTCTATTTCTCCAAACACCTGATTTTCCAACACAAACAGTTCTCTCTGCTACATTCATGTGACGTCCCTTACGGAGAAAGTCGTAGTTTTGCTGTTTGTGAATTGGGAGAGAAGTAAATGCATCTCCCTAACTGTTCATTAGTGTAAACTACACCTAAATAAATTTGTTTGGCTTCTTTAGATTTGTACGTGTGGATGAGAGTGCAGAATACCAGTTCTCAATACTGCTTAGATGATGTATTAGCAGTGTTAACGTGAGGTTTTGACAGGTCACAGCTTCAGCATCTAGTGTCTAATACTCAGACTCTAGCTATTTAATGTGAATAAGGATTAATTGGCTAACATCAATAACAGCTACCTTTTTAGTTTTTAGTTACATCTGTTAAAAATTATTATAGCTTTCCAATCTATTGAGGGCTCTCAGGGAAAATATAAGAAGGCACCTTTTTCTCTCAGAAAATTAGAAATTCATTTGTATTGTCTATATTTAGTAAACCTTATTTTAAGACTGGCACATAAGGATTTTTATATGGTTCTATGTATTACGGTAATAAACTGAGGAAAGAATGAATTCATGTATTATACAGACTGCCGTAAATTGCGCTTTACTCCCTTTTTATTCATTGACCTAAGTTCTTTTTATTTCCCAATTCTTACCAGCTTCTACTTTTCTTTATAACTACAGTCAATGGTCCAGGAGCCTAATCTATAATTAGACATTATACAACTTTTCTTTTGAGATTTTAACATTCAAAGAAGTTTTTCACTTTCAGAAGCAATTGTTTGCCTTCACCACATATGTAATTATTCAAATTAAAATACTGTTTTGCTGGCTGAACTGAGATGCAGACACCAGATCAATCTAAATAGAAAGCATTTCTACAATGAAGTTTGCCACAATTATTATTTTTTCTGTGTCCAACATATTTTGCTTACATTTTCACTTAAAACACTTCATAATACCCTAAAAGCACACTATCTGTTGATATGAAATACATTCTGAATAAACAGAGGTCAAAATATAATTGCACAGCCCATAAAGGTACTGCTGCATGTCCGCTGTGAGCTACGGGCAGAGAGAAGGCATTTCCCGGCTGGCTTCTTACTATGCTTATCCACAGCCAGAGGCTTCTGAGGAGGAGCCGCAGTCATGTTGGGACTGTTCTGACTGCCACCCGAGGCAGGCCCAGCTGGCATATGATTCTACAGCCACCCTCCAAGATCTCTATTATATTTTATGCGCAAAGTATTATAATTAAAATTATACTTCTTTGGAAAGTGCTTTGAGTCAAATAAGCAATTAATTTGATTAAAAGTAATGGAATAAAGATCATTTAAAGGAAAACCTCTGCCACATTTAGAACTTAAGAGTAACAATTTAATTCCGGGTACAAATGAAGGCGTATTACGTATATGGCAAACCACTGAGATTTTAAAGCAACAGTGAGCCATAGATTCTCAAATTCGCTCCCTCCATAAGCTTATTAAATAAGCATTTAATAAATACTGATAATTACAAATATTAATCTTATTACTATATATTATGTGACAAAAATATTTCTCAAGAAATAAAATTACACAAATCTTCCCCCAGTCAAGTATAAACCTTGTGAAACTAGGCTTTGGCGTACTACAAAGTTCCCTATAAGCCCTCGTTTCTCTAAAGACTCACCTTTCTCAGAGTCAGTCAGTAGGAAGAGGTCAGGATGTTCTGGGTCATCAGCCATCATCACCATCCATCCTACCACAGACACATTCTTATTTGATGTGGATTTGAACTGAGAGACAGAAAGACAACTAGTGGTCATCTTGATGGCTCATCCTCAGTGTCAGGGGGCATGTCTTCCGTTTCTCCCAGTGAGACATGAGACCTGTGACTTTGTGCTGGTCAGGTGTGCTCAGGGCCTTTTAAGACTAAATTCGGCCCCTGTGGAGACACTCTCCTGCCTTCCAGATCTTTCTCAGCGTGACCTCTTTGTCAACACCTAATTGTCCCACTGTCCAATCCCAAAGAGCAGGACTGTTAGTGGAACGGTAAGTTCATCTAAGTTGTTTCGTCTGTTACTGTGCTCCCCCTTCACCCCTTTCTTATAGAAACACACGTGCATTTTAATACAGATGTTATCTTTCCTCCAATTTCTTGAGATATACTTGACTTACAACATTGTGTAAGTTTAAGATGTATCAATACAACATAGCCCTGGCCAGTTTGGCTCAGTGGAGACTGAAGGGTCCCGCAGACTGATTTGATTCCGGTCAAGGGCACATGCCTAGGTTTCGGGCTCAGTCCCCAGTGTGGGGCATGCAGGAAGCAGCAAATCAATGATTCTCTCTCATCACTGATGTTTCTTTCTCTCTCTCTTCTTCTCCCTTCCTCTCTAACATCAATAAAAATATATTTAAAAAAAGATGTACAATGTAATAGGGGTATTCTCTTAAACCAAGTGTTATCAGACACTTCTTTATATCTACATCTATATACAGTATATATGCAAAAAATATTCTTAGCATGCTTGTTACTTTTCTAGTTTTCATTTATTTGTTTATTTCAGAGAGGAAAGGAGAGGGAGAGAGTGATAGAAACATCAATGATGAGAGAGAATCATTGATCGGCTGCCTCCTGCACGCCCCCTGCTGGGGATACCACCCAGGCATGTGCCTTTGACTGGAATGGAACCAGGACCCTTCAGTCCACAGACTGATACTCCATCCGCTGAGTCAAACTGGCTAGGGCACTTTTCTATTTTTTTTTTCTTTTCTGGGTTCTAGTTTTTTTAAAGTTACACTTTAGTAACAAAAAAAAAGAACTGTTATGAAAGGACAGAAAATTGGATAAATCTCATTCATGAAAAGGCTGTGAAACAATGCTAACAATGTAGAGAAGGAATACTTACATGTTTTCTTTCTGTAGCTTTTAGAGATTTGGCAGTGTAGTAAAAAAGTTGTGTCCCACACAAAGCTGCCCAATATTTTGTCCAAGATGCTACCTGGAGAGGACAAACACTTGAACACACGACGCCACTTCAGCCCTCTCAAGCCTAACCTTAGAGCACAAAATCGTTAATTCAAGCACTCCTCTCACTTCCACTTACTATACTGCACAAGTACTTGCATTCAGATAATTACCCATCTCATCAAGAATCCTATCGCTTTTTCATATTGTCTAGTATCTTCACGGCCTCCCCATCTCATGTCCCCCTTCTCCTTTCTTCATGTTCTGTCTGTATTACACGGTTCTGCACTATACCCATCCCCTTCCAAATTCTTCCATCTCGCTGCATGCTCCTGACATAACCCTAACCCTGATTAATCTAACCATCTTTTCTCCTCCAGCAACACTTTCTTCATAGATCATCATCTCACCAGGCCCATACTTCAAATACTATGCATATGCTAAAGACTCCCAAATCTCCATCGCCGGCCATCACCTCCTCTGCTCCCCTTCTGAATTGTACTTTTTGAAGAGCCAAAGTGACATCCCCACTTGCAGCCCCAGCCTCTCTGACTTCATCCCATCCACCTACTGCCCAGTCATCGCTTCAACTCCACAAGCCACCTTGTCTCCTCAATGCGAGGTCTTCACGTGGCTAACTCATTTCAAATGCCTCGGTTCAAATGCCTCCTCTAGTGACAAGTCTCCTGACGCCATCACTGTCCGTCTCCTCTCCTCACTTTAAGAGCTATTTCTCCCCAGTGGAACGCCATCTCCCTGAGGCAGGCGCTTGTTCATTGCTTTATTCCTGGCATCTGGCACACGTTAGATGTGGTCAACCTCAGTTGCTGTGCTGTTCTTAGTTTGCTAGCTAGCTGGTCTAGTGTAGCTTCTGGATTGTAATATAAGCAGCAAAAATCAGATCCCTTAGGTGTAGGAAGCCCTCCCTCTTCATCTTCAAAAACTTTCAGTGCAGAAACACATCAAAGTTTATTCCAAACTAGATATACTATTATTTGAGAAAAGAAAATAAATCTTTCTTTTATCATCAAACTACTGTGCTGCTGTTGGGGGAAAACTACTTCTGAGTTACATGTGAAAATCTTTGTTTCACCAAACTTTTTTTTTTTTTTTTTTTTTTTTACATAATTATGGTTTGGAGGACATTTAATATCTGGTCTCTATTTCATGTGGGAAAAAAACCTGCATTATTGATTTCAACAACTTAGAACCAGCAACAACAACAAAAAAATGATTGGATTCTATTTGAGGGTTAACTTTCTTTTTTCTATTTTCCTGAACTTATTACTAAAATACTTCTGTACAGTATTACTTCAAGGTTCTCTGAGAAACAGTTTTGAACAAGAACTATATTAGAGGGCAGAGAAATACAGGCATGCTTTAAGCTCCCTACATGTATGATCCAACTGAAATCTAAATTAAGAAACATGGGGGGTGGGGTGAGATCGGGATGAATGGTCAGGGGGGAGGCAGGGGACATCTGTAAGACTTTAAATGATAAAGATAAATAAAAAAACATGGAGAGGCAAATGTGTACCTTATATCACTTCGAGTGTACTATATATGTGATTTTATTTCAATTGTCTTCATATTTCTTAGGGTCCTGTACATTTATATATTTTTAGAAGTGTTAAAATAGGATAAAGTCTTACTGTAGGCTTTTTGCCTTCCTTTAACAAAGTTTTTCTCTTGAGAACACCTTGAATAGTAACAGCTCCTGGATATAAATGTACTGCCAAATCTTCTGATTCTGCAGAACTATAATAATGAAACAAAGAAAAAACAGGTAAGAGCTTTTATGTATGGTAATTATCAAATAGGTACTTAAATGAAATGTAATTATTCTTTATTTCAAAATGTTGTTACTTTATTCAGAATGAGAAGACACTGACAATTATAAAAGTTTATTGATCTGAAATTTATAAGCTATTACATAAGTTAATCTGGAAGTTACTCAAGTCAGCAGATGGTTAAAAACACACACTTTATTACATATTTGAACAAGTATAATTTAGAAAAAATAGGGTAATTTAATTTAATAAAGATTAAATACATTTAAGACTTTGCTTCTTCTTAACATGCCACACTGCATCACTGCTGTAAACTTTCCCCCATTAGAAACCTTAAGTCCTGGTAGGAAAGATGAGGATTCTATTTGCTGAAAGTATTTAAGCATATAAAACTCAAAAATAATAAAAGCTCAAAAAGAAAAAAAAAGAAAAAAAAAAGGAAAACACACACACACATTTAATTCTAAATAGTTAAAAGTAGTAAAAAGCAACAGGAACATGTTTTTAAATTGGCTTTCTGCTATCAATTTTAATTACATTTAAATGTTTCCAATGCATAAGTATTTGATTATAACCTACTCCCAAACCCAAGATTTCCTTTCCATATATCTTAAGAAAACCATTAAAAATAACCACACATTTAAATATGCCTCCCCAACTGGCTTAAGTTCCTATATTTAAAACAAGAGTAATTTCCATAGTAAAAATCTGTCATTCCCTGGAGATCTGATTTGAGTGGCAGAATTCCTGTAACAGTGATGAAAACTAAAGTTTGCCAATTTATCCCTTTATGATTATTTAGGTGTCTTCAAAGTGACTTAAACCCTAAAACCATCAGAAATTTCAGGCTAGAGCTATTTATATTCAGGGAGATATACAAGAGGAGATTAGACACCATCAAAACGACACAGGTTCACTTCTAAAGTTGGCTATTTTGTTGTATTATCAATTTGTTGATTAGCACTAACCTATAAACCCGAATCAATGTGCATTACTCTTACTTTCTTCTGCAGCTAATACAGGGCAGAAAGAGGACTCAGTTTAATTTGATGAACAATGGAATGAACATGCATTTAAATACACAAGTATTATTTAATGAGACAGACTGGTCTAAATTCAGGATTTGCAGTTTATAAAAAACAAGTTCTTTCACAAGGCAAATCTGATCAGCAAAGTAAATTCTTTGATTTTAGCCGCTGAATAGGCTGCAAGTTGATTTTTGTTTTGCTCATCCAATAACTTAACAGCATTAGAAAGATCTGTGCACTTAAAAAGCTACCAACTTGGAATTATTTTTAAAATGTGACACAGAGATGCAAGTTTTAGCAATTAACTGTGGATCAGAAAGAATAATTCAAATTAATCTCTAGATTAAATCTTGGAAAGTTTCCTAGGCATTTTTTTTTCAGTCTTTGAATCAGTTAGTTGAGAAAGAACAGAAATGATGTGAGACCACGCCCATGTAAGCCAATCACCAACACCAGAGGGAGTTCTGTGGCCCCTGAATGCAGGGGAATTGTACCTGCTGGCCTTCACGTGGCTTCGATAGCCATTTCGTGCCACTCGTGTCATCGGGCCGAGAGAATGGTACAATCTGTTCCTGTTGGATTCCATTATAAATTGTATATATTACATACACTTTAATTCACACAAACATCATCAGTACCTAGAACAGCATAATAATTTTTGTGTAATAAAGCTTTCTAAATCTTACAAAAGGTTAGTCTGTGATCGTTTCTGATCCTTTTTAAAAGCATGCAGCATAGATTTAAAAAACTTGTTTTTTTTACTATTGATGCTAGAATATAGCTGCTTAGAAAACATCATACATTTATATATACATTCACTTTCACAAATCTGCTAAAATAATTAAAGAGCAATTTATAACCAGGTACTATCAAAACCTGAAAAATACTTCAAAAATACTTTTGTTTCTATTTTAGTGCTTGGATTCAAGTTTAAATATGACACCTGGGTTCATATAAATAATTCATTTTTATTATATGTCCCTATGAAGACACCTAAACGCAATGTGGCCAGTAAACTTAAAAAATTAATGCTGCCCAAACACCTTATTTTCCTTCCTACCCTTTTTATTAAATCCAAGAAAATCCAAGAGACATACACTGAGTAATAAATAAAGGCATTGTTTTCCTTCCATGTCAACTTAAACAAATGATAAAAGCCAGTAAGAGATAACAATGGTATGAATTAATTTTACCCAAAATGACGTGTAATACTTAACAAAATAAAATAAACACACACATAGACACTGACACTTCTTTGCCTGGGAAAAGCCAAAAGTTGATAAATGATATTTAAAACAAAAAGCATTATTTTAGCAACTGGAGCAACAACCTATTTGATGTCTGTCTAGGAAGTAAGAATAGAAAATGGCATGTTTAATATTCAGAGTACCACTTTTAAGTTCATTATCTATAGGTAGTATTTTAAATCTTAGTTCTTTATTTCTTTATTATTATTTCATGTCTGAGTCTTGCTGGGCAGCTTTAATTTGCTCTCAAAATGTTTCAAGAGCCACTGATTTAAACTTGGCATTATTATAGATTTTTTTTTTTTAAGCTGCAAATGTCTGCAAAGCAAAGCATTTGTCAGAAAAAAAGAACTGAGATGTGAAGGTAACACCATTAAATGCTGTCTTTGAAAATAACCCGCAGGGATGAGAACAGGTTACCCACACCACTCTGGTTATTCACAAATATCTCAAGCAATCTGAGAAACAGTTTTGTTCATCAATGTTTTTTATCTAAAGATTACAACACACTCTATAGCCAATAGGATGGTTTTATGCTCTTTCGAGAGGGAAAGAACTAAGACAATTTGTACAGACATCATGTGCTGGAGCCAACTCTTTGTTTTTCCCATTTCAGGCAAACCCAAATAAAGAAACTGAAAGTAAAAGTTGGGGGGGAAAATAATACGCAAAAAAAATTTGCTAAGAATCCCCAAAAACAAAAAGAACAAAACTTGGGAATACTGATAGTTTAGAAAGGCTTAGGAATACTTTAAAATATTGGGTTTCCAAGTAAAATTTTAATCACATAATGGTGAGAATTCTTTGTAAAGTGTCATTGAGAATGAGGTTATAATTTTCTAATTAAACACAACAAAATTGAAATGTAGTTTAATTTTAAGGAGGAATTTAGTATAATTGTTTTCTATTAAAAGTCACTGATATGAAGTTAGATAACTAAATATTTCAATTCCAACAATTTTAACATGACATTCAAAATCCAATTTAAATGACACTTTTGCTTAGAAACATAGCTTGCTTAGTATATACAATAAAGAACAACTACTTTGGTCAAGAGTCAAGCGTCGTATAAGTATGAAAATGGCAGAAATGAAATAGAGACAACATAAAAGCTCTAATGAACATTTAGTATAAACATGTATTTGCACTGTTCGGCTACATTTTTAAGGCCATCTTATTTGGAAGTTCAATATATTGTAACATGACATTTGCTGCAGGCCAATGACAGCTTTTATAATTTAAAGCAAAAGGAAAGGAGAATGCATGCACAGTATCTACTACTACACATATAAAGGCCTAAGTGCCCTTTACGACTGTTAGGACTGGTTGATCAGTTGCTATGACTATGACGCGCATTCTCAACGCAGGAGCTGCCCCCTGGTGGTCAGTGTGCTTCCACAGTGGGAGTGCCGCTGGCTGTGGCAGCCGGAGCCTCTGGGGCTGCCTGCCGCTTCGGCACTGCTATCTCCTTTGACTGTCGGTTTCGGCCCAATCCCAAAACCGGCAGTAGGACATCCCCTGAGGAATTCCGGATTGCAAGAGGGTGGAGGCCAAGCTGAGGGACCCCACCCGGGCAGGAATCCGTGCACTAGGCTTCTAGTTTCAGTATAAATCTGTGTCCTCTGTGCAAACTAAGTGACAATTTAAATTCAAACTTTAGACTGCTTTATTAAAATTTAAAATTTACTAAGTCATTTTGCCCTTGACAAAGCAGCAGAGAAGGAAGTTGATCATTCTGCTTAATGTTTAAGTTACTTAAATCAATCAGGATTTTAGGGAATAATTTTACTTTTCAACACATAAGTAGATACATTGACCATGATTACTTTTTTAAAATTGTATTTTTAAATGTGCTAAAATTTATATACATGTGTTAAGCCACCAAACAAACATGTATTATTATTTACTAGGTAAGATTCAATTCCAGACTTGAATATCAACTTCTAATTTCTGCCACCAGCAGGAAGTTCAAATAGTCCCTTAGTGCTACGTAATAAATATTACCTCTTAAGTATCATACAGTCATAGGTGAATTATATTATTCATATACTTTCAGACAGACCAAAAACCAAACCTCAGAACAGTTCAAATGGACAATTTTCTTACCTTTCAAAAGCAGGCCATGAGGTCTCTTCACTTAGTTCAGAACCATCACTGCTACCTAAAATTACAAGTTATTCTATTTTTTAAACATCAGAATTTCAGTTTGTGTTTTTTAATTTTAGAAATCATTCTATAGCTGTGCTTATAAAATGAGAATCATGTTATTTGTGGGTAAACATCCACATATTCATTCTTCATTCTAATATTATTGCTGCTAAATTTATTTTACAATATATTGGAATACAGTTGACAAGAAAATAAATGAACATAAAACATTTTTGCATGTCTACTTATTGCTCAAATTCATTGTTAGTAAACAAATTTCTTGTATGATCAGAAAATGCATATAAGTATATTTTTCCTTACTAGCTCTGCCATAATTTAAGACCAATATAATTATGATGACCTCTCGGTGCATGGGACGCTGCTTAACCAACTGAGCCCCACTAGCCAGGGCATCACCACGAATTGTTAACTTCAATACTACTAGTAAGGTGAGTCTATGCCTAATTACTACTTTGCTTTCATCCAATTTTCTGTATTTGGAGTAGAGATAATGGCATTTTTCCAGCTGAGCTTGGTTAAACACCACATTTTAAAAGTAAGCTGGAACCCTCCGGAGAAATATTTCTCACCTAATGATATTCCACTAGACAGAGTAGAACTTTCGGCTTGGCCTCGAGATGGTGCGTGGGGCTCCATGACGCTATCGTCTAATAGATGCGTTGGCCCTGCATTGGGGAATGTCGCGCTTTTAAACTCTGCTGTGTTCATTTTATGAATGAAACTGGGAAGAAAGAAAAATATTTCGTTACTATTACTAATTCAGGATATAGAAGATACTCCTATAGAGAGAGCTAGGAAATACTAGTAAAAGATTTACCCACTATCCTGAACTTCTGAACTCTCATAACTAATGAACACACAGATTGTATTTATTTGAAGGTCTCAAACTAGGAGTATAGTTAAGTATTTAGGAAACAAGGCCATATCTACTTATGGAATAGAGAATGCTTTAAGTCTCCAGTCTATTAAAAAATTGTTTCCATGCTCACTTTTGAAAAATAGCTATTATATTTTCACAAAAATCATGGCAAAGGTGAGCCATAGGCCCCGTTTTGAAAACAAAACAAAACAAAACAAAACAAAAACAAAAACAAAAAAACGATCTTGCAAAGCTCAAGAAATTAAACACAAAATCATTTCCCACTGTTTATATTTAGGAATAAAAAGAACAATTTATATAAATCATAATTTATGGTGATAAGCATTAATTGTCTCGATACAGAGAAAGGTTACAATTTAAAAGTAAAATAGTATAGTGCTTTCCTGATTGCATTTATGATGTGCTCTCTGATTCTCATTTATCTCCCCCAATGTGAAGGCACCGTTGGGAAAAGTTCATTTCCAAATTAAGGTAAAGGAAGAAAAAATGCTTTTAGTCAAAAGTATACAAAACATTATTAGGACACTATTTTCAAAATAAACAGAAAGTAAGTCAACTGAAAGTGATTTAAAAATTGAAAAGAGAAAATGAGAAATGCTGACTTATAACCCAGGCTATGGCACTTCCTATGTCCGTGTGGAATCAGGTTCCGAGGGGATGGCAGTGTGTGTGGTAACAGGGCTCCTTCAGCTGCCACACTTCTCCCACTCTGTGGAGATCCCACTTCAGGACCTACGGGGTCAACGTAAAAATATAAAATGTGGTTTAACTTTTAAGGTATGTTAATGCCACTTAACTAACTGAACGTGAAAAATAGTTCTTTTCTAAGTCTTAAAACACAAAACCCACTGATTTCTAGCTCTCTAATGTGCACGAAGTAGGCAGTATAACCATTTCCCTCGTTACAGAGGCAGAAGCAGACTTGAAAGGGCTGGGCTCAGGGTCTCCCACCACAGATGACACCTGGACTGAGCACTCGGGTCTCCCAGCCCCAGCTCCCAGCTCTGTTGTTCAGTGTTACAGGCAGCTTCTGTTCTCTTACTCCCAGCTTCCTTTTAGGAAGATAAAAAATCGAACTCCAAAGTACACAGATTTGCAAAGAATGACTGTAAGAAAAGCAAACTTAAGAGATTTAGACAGAAATGTTTTCCTTTGCCAGGAATCCTCTCCCCACTGAATACAGCCATGGCTTGTTCTCTCGCTTCCTTCATACATTATTAGATGGCTCTTCAAATGTTTTTTACAACATACAGTAATCTGAAGGTTATTACCAAGGTCTGTGTTTGAAAATTTTAAAAAGGCACTTATCAATTATTTGTTAAATAATGAGTAGTCTTCAATTTTATATATTTTTTAATATGTGTGGTATATATGTAATACCTTCATTATAATGCAATAGGTAAATTAATAACTATATTTTAAAATATTTTAATACTACTTGACCCAGTATTAAAGTAAAACTTAAAAAAAATTAGCTCAATAAAATTGACTTTAATTATTTGAAATAGAATTTTCCAGTTGACCACAGAAATTTCTAATGTAATCAATACTTGTAGTCTAGCACAATGTATTCTTAAAAAAAAAAAAAAAAAGAATATTTATAAACATTTACCTGTTATTTTCTGTCTGTGGTATCTATTTTCCTTAATTACAATATCTTTTTCCCCCTTTTTTAAATTAAATTTATTGGGGTAACATTGGTTAATATGACAGAATATCTTTTTTTACATTACTGACAAACTACAAGTAACAACTTTTTGATTAAAAACCAAAAAAGCCCAAGCAGAAAAAAACATATAATTTAATACTAAAAGTAAATGTTGCATGCAGTATAAAATGTGCTAAGTATTTACTTACTTTGCAGCATTTTCCTTCCCATTAGGTTGCCCGGTTAATTACGGTAATGAGAAAGAAACTGCACTAACCTACTAAGTCTTCCCTAGAGGCAGCCGAGCGTGGTGTGCTGGTCCCCGGTTCTATCTTTAACGAGAGCCTGAATTCCAAAAAGAAACAGAGCACATAAAATCACTAACATCTGACAAAATATTAAAATCATGTATTTTCCTACACGTGAACTAAAACATTTTAATGAAACAATCTCAGCTACATAACTTTCTTTGAATGAAAACTTGAATAGTTAAGTCTCCTATCTCTTCCACACTAAGCTCATCTTATGGTAATTCTAGGAAATATTAGAACGGGGGATAAACATTAAAAAGTCACATTTAAAATCAGAAAAAAATCTCCCCAAACTACCCCAACATTGCCAAGCAATTCATCATTTTTAGAGATATTTGATGAATGACTAAAAGGGGGTTTAAACAGGAAGTTATATTGATACCTAATAATTCAGGAACTTTCACATATATTATTAAACATATTATGTAAATTCATCCTAGAATCTTTACTAGATGGGCTAATGGCTTCTGTAGCACTGGACGTTTGAAAAACACCTTATTTAAAACTCGCCGTTCAAAAAACCCAACCAACTCAACTTATCAAAAGATAGGTCTATACAAATAAAAAGGGTTGCTTGCAAAATTCCTGGTAAATCCCTGCCCTAAGTCACAGTTTATTAGTTCGTACTTAACTTCCATTTAGGATCACAGACATAGTTTTGAATTCCACAGCAAAAAGAGATTATGATTCATATCAATGGAAACTATTTCATGAAATAGTATACTAAAGCTATTGTGGAAAATTCTTTGGTGTAGTCCGCAAAGCCTATTATTATTAAGCATTAGCCTGAAAATTAATGAAGCCATTTTATTTTTAGCATTTTGTCAACGGATTTATGAAATTACATAATACAAGTGACATTCATAATGATAAATCTATTATAGGTCTTTAACTCTTCACTTCTTTGGTAACCTTAGAGGGGATTACATACAATTACATTCCAATTATTGGACAGTATTAAATGCATGTGTTGAATATGATTAGCCAGAACTCTCTGTTTTTCTTTTAACAGAGCAGTTTAATCACTTGGGCTGAACTCATTCATTCAATAGTTATCGAGCACCTGCTTTGTGTTGGGCACTTTGGCCTCGTGGAGTATAGTAAGAGGCCAGGGCACACACGATGGCCCTGCCCTCCTGAAGGTCATCGTCCAGTAGGTGTAAGACAAAGAAGTAAACAAAGTAACTACATTTCCTGACAGAGAGCAAAGCGGAGGAAACAGTAAGGAAGCTATGGGTGAGTCACAGGGCTATGGCAGCAGCAGCGCATCACCGACAGCAGCACAGAAGGTGGAGCATCGAAAAGTGCAGCAGTGAAGGCTGGCCAGTGTCAGTGCCTTTAACATCATAAAAAATACCGTGAGATAACAGGGATGCTGAGTCAATGAAAAAAAGTATGTTCAGTATTAAAATGAAAGAACTTCTATAGAATTTCATCCTGATTAAATCCTATGCATGTAATTTGTAATATCCACACCGACTGCCTATATAGATGAAGCTGCCCAAAACAGAGACATTTAAATAAGTAAAATATCATTTTTACTTAAATCTCTTTCATCAGAAAGATACATTTTCTTCCTCTCCCCACCCCCCCCCAATTACTTTAATGGCTCCTATCTTAAAATGCTCTGATTTTCAACACATTTAATTAGTATGCTGATGCAACACAACTGCAGCTTTAGAAAAACAATCTATCTTCTTTAGTTTCCCATCAGATGCCCCAACACCACCAAGTGGCTTGGAATCCTGCAGCAAACTCAATGTTTGATCATTCACTCCCTAAACACCTTTCCTTACCCTTGAACACGGAGCTAATTCCTGCTCGAATTCAGCCTCATGTGGCACTGTCTCCTAAAGCTGTCCAGGGTTCTCTTCACTTGTCCCACAAAAAGCCGAGTCAGGTCCTCCCTTATGTATGCTCCCATAATATGCCGGGTATATCTCTATTACAGTACTGTTGGAACTGTTTTGTAACCATCTGTTTTGTGAATGTGTTTTGCATTAGACTGAGCCTCTTAAGCATTTTTCAGAAATTTTAGCCTTTTACTGGTATTAATTGTATTCTGCACAAATTCTTTAAAAATTATTGAAGTTATAGAACAAGGAAGTTGATCGTTACTATCAAATGAGATATAAATATTTTTATATAATACATTAATATTGAAAAGTAACCTATTCCTTCAATTTGATAAAATTTTAAAGACCTCTGATTGGAAAAAATATTGGTGGAAGACACAAATATTTGGAACAACTGGCATAATAAAGCTAACACAAACATTTTTTAAAATTAACAAATGAAGCAAAAAACCCCGCACAGAATTCTAAAGGGAAATAAGTTCTTTACTCTCTCATATTTAGAAAAAACATGGCAGCTGTGATGTATAGCATACCACTGAAAAATACCAAGGGCTAATTCCAAATTCCCTCATACCTTGGTCAGTATTATAGATGATAATGAGAAGGAAATGAACTTTTGAAATCTTTAATAAAGGACTTGCTCTAAAATAAAGGGTAAGTATGGTGCGATATATAACTGTATATCCAAACCAAAGGCAAGCTGTTCAATGTTTGCTCAAACCACAAAAACAATTCCAAATAAGTTCAAAGATGTGTCAAAAATCACCATTAAAAAAGGAGTAACTTTTCTATTTGTAGATGGTTTCATTAATTTTTCAGTCTATTAAAAGATAAATTTCCATAAAGATTCAATGCTTAAATATAGAAAGAAGGCATTTAAACTAGGATTATCAAACATAACTATTAACAATCTGAGAAAGATGAAATACTTTTTAATAAAAGAATAAATGAGCCCTGGCCAGTGTGGTTCAGTTGGTTGGGCATCATCCCATGCACTGAAAAGTTGCAGGTTCAATTCCAGGTCAAGGCACATGCCCAGGTTGCAGGTTTGATCTCTAGTAGGGGGTATGCAGGAGGCAGCCGATTGATGTTTCATTCTCACATTGATGTTTCTCTCTCTCTAAAAATCAATTAAAAATCTTAAAGAAAAAAACAGATGAGATACTTGTACACTGACTCAATCATGTAAAGTGATTAAAAGAGATACATGTAAATACTGCAAATATATGGCTGGATTAGGCATTTGCGTGATATGATGGAAGACTTAGATGTTTAAATACATTGGGATGAGCGGAAGGAGGACAGTTATACAAACCACTTTTGAAGATCGAACCTACTTGTAATTATCATCTTCCACAAACTTTTGTAGTTCTTCTATATACTGAACAGAGTTCAGATATTTTTGGACGTGAGGCAACATGGGGATATCTAGGTAAAATGAGGAAGTAATTAAACATCTGACAAAGTACATCGCAAGCACAGTTTTAAAAGTTAAGCTGAGAAAATGATATTTAAAGGTGAATTAAGGCCACCTGGCCCCAATTTTAAATTAATTCTAGAAGGACATTATTGAGGAAAATCTTATTTAAAATAAGAATGTAAGTTGAATAGATTAAAAAAAAAACCAAAAAACGACAAAACCCAAACAGCCCCATTTACAAAGTCCATCATATTTGAGAAATTTCTTAGAAAAAAAAAAATCAGACTTCATTGTGACTTATATTGAAATCTTATCTAAAGGCAAGATGTAAGGCAGTTTTGTTTTCTTTTACAGAAGCCTGGCTCCCATTTGTAAATGTAGTTTTTCCTCTCCTAGTTAAAAATTTCAAACATTAATTTCACATTATAATTTGATGTTTAAAAAAAATGAGAAAAGGACAAGAGATTATTTGATTTAACTTTCAGTAAGATTCACCCCCACACTCCAACTTTTAAGAAGTTTTTGAGGTTTTCTTAAAAGTATAGACATAGTAATGTTAGCTTTAAGACAAATTTATTTTAAAGTAATTAGATAGTATAAACTCACTGTTTTATAATACCATGAAAATTATGTCAGTAGCCTATATTTAATTCCCTATCAAATTAAAAGAATCCTAACATTTAAAAAATATTAAAAAACACACACCTTTTGTAATCATCTGGGCTTGCGTAAGCTGTTTTTATACATGTGTTTCCACAAAGTAAAACTTAGAAAAAAAATGGTTATTTACTCAATATCAGACTCAACTAACTTAAAATTTTAACTAGAAATACTTCAATGTCTTAAAAGCGAGATATTAAACTGGATGCTAAATATTAAACAGTGAAATGAAACAGTCACTGTCATCCTTTATATGTTAGGATGTTTTCTGCTACGTGAAAAGTGGTCTTCATTTTGTGTAAATGAATCATTCAGCAGAATCACAACATGATGGCTTAGTTTCATCCCTCAGAAACTTACCATATTCACAAGACTGCTGTAAATCAGAAATTATTCGAAGAATGTTATTCATCAAATTTGATCTCTGCTCACTTTCTAGAATGCTGCCAGTTGACGGATATGCTGAATCAATGTAAGTTAAGTCTGACAAATAGATACCTGAAATGAAATTAGATAAATGAGTTTTCCTACTTATAGTTTGGAAGAGTATGACAAAGTGAAGGGGAAAAAAGCTAGCTTATATCTATTTCTATATCATCCATATCTATCTATCTATCTATCTATCTATCTATCTATCTATCTATGGCTAATATGCAAAGTGTCCCCTTGGGAGACCAGTTCCATCGTTTGCTATGACATACACTGACCACCAGGGGGTGATGTGGAATGAAGGAAGGCCCTGGCTGGCAGTTGGAAGGCCCCAATCAGTCCTGATCACCAGCCAGGCCTAAGGGCCCTACCCATGCATGAATTTTGTGCACTGGGCCTCTAATATACCATATTTTGAATGTAGCATTATGAATACACTGCAGCTTTATAAAAACATGGCCACCAAGGCCTACATTTCCATAGTGTTGGGGCCAAACATGGAAATACAGGGTAGGACAAAAGTAGGTTTACAGTTGTTCATATGGAAAATAATACAATAATTAACAAATAATAATACAGAGTAAACTCTGTGTTTCACATACTCACAACTATAAATCTACTTTTGCTCCACCCTGTAATTTTTTTTTTTTTTTTTTTTTTTTTGTAGAGTCTTCTGATACTATCTTAAAGTATGGATTTAAAAAAATTCTCACCCAAGGACATGCTGAGGGAGAGAGAAAGCAAGCTTTTTAGCAATATCAATCAGTGGTCTTCTGCATGTGCCCCAACTGGGGATCCAACACCAAACCCAGGTATGTGCCCTAATTGGGAATAGAACCGACAACCTTTTGGTGCATGGAATGATGCTGCAACCAACCAACCGAACCACCTGGGCAGGGCTCGCTGGTTTGGTTTTTAAAGCTTTATAAATTCATACTTCCATGACAGTATGTAAGTTCCTACTGATCTACACTTGATATTATCAGCTCCTTAATTTTTGCCAATCTTGTGAGTGTAAAATATCACTGTTTTAATTTTCATTTCCTAGATTAATAATGAGTTAAATGTTTATATTTCTTTGACATGTCTTTTGTCTATTTCCCCCCTGAGTTGTTTTTTTCTTATTGATTTCTAAGATCTTAATATATTGTAGAAATGAACCCCCTTAACAGTTAAATTTTATCCAGTTACTTTTTTTTATTATTATTTTTATTTTTTTAAAAATGTTTTTATTGTTCATATTATTACAAATGTTCCTTTTTTTCCCCCCCACCATTGCTCTCCTCCACCAGGTTCCCACCCCACCCTCTGCCCTTTCCCCACTCCCCATTGTCCTCATCCATAGGTGCACAGTTTATGTTCAGTCTCTTCCCACGCCCCCCTCTCCCCTTTTCCCCAAGAATTGTCAGTTCACTCCCCTTCCATACCTCTGATTCTATTATATTCAACAGTTACTATTGTTCATCAGATTTTTTTTTAATTCCCTTGGTTTTTAGATTCACTTGTTAATAGTTACGTATTTGTTGTTCATAATTTTTATCTTTGTTTACTTTCTCTTCTGAAAGAACCCCCTTCAGCATATAATTCTGGTTTGGTGTTGATGAACTCCTTTAGCTTTTTTTTATTAGTGAAGCTCTTTATCTGACCTTCGATTCTGAGTGATAGCTTTGCTGGATAGATTATCTTTGGCTGTAGGTTCTTACTATTCATCACCTTGAATATTTCTTGCCATTCCCTTCTGGCCTGCATGGTTTCTGTTGAGAAGTCAGCTGATAATTGTATAGGTGCTCCTTTATAGGTAACTACCTTCTTTGCTCTTGCTTCTTTTAATATTCTCTCTTTGTCTTTTGCTCTTGGAATTTTAAGTATGATGTGACTTGGTGTGGTCTTTTTTGGATTTCTTTTGTTTGGAGTTCTGTGCGCTTCCTGGACTTGTAAGCCTAATTTTTTCCCCAGGTGGGGGAAGTTTTCTGTCACTATTTCTTCCAGTATGTTTTCCATATCTTGCTCTCTCTCATCTTCTGGGACCCTCATAATTCTGATGTTGGTTCGCTTGAAGTTGTCCCAGAGGTTTCTTACATTATCTTCAATTTTCTGGATTCTCTTGCCTTCTAGCTTCTGTGGAGGACTGTCTTCTGGCTCTGTATGTTCCAAATCTTTGACTTGATTCTTGCGATCTTCCATTCTGTTTTTAGGACTCTGTATAATATTTTTTATTTCAGAGAATGCATTTTTAATTTCTTGTTGATCCCTTATCATTTCTTGATGACTCCTTATTAATTCTAGTTGATCTCTTTTCATATCCTCGTAGCCCTTATCCATCTTTTCTAGGACATTCTTGAAAAACCTTATAAGCGTAGATTTGAACTCTATATCCAGACGCTTTTTGTCCTCCATTTCTTTCGTTTGTGATCTATTTTGTTGTCGCATTTCGCAGTTACAGATGGGATGGGGTTTCAGGGTGGAGCCTGCAGCTTTGGCTTCCGTCAGCCCCGCCCTATGCAGGTCCTTCAGTGCTCGCTGCCGTTGCCTCTGAGAGAAAGGTGCCCTCGATTTTCGCCTGCTGCCGAACAGTCTATGCTCTCCCCCAATGAGCCGGTATTGGGGTTCAGTTCAGTTGGAAGTGGAGTTGGAGGTGGCCTTCAGAGCAGTCTGGAGCCCCAGTCTCCTTCCCGTCAGGGAGATCCTGCGGCACAGCCGACCGTCCCTTCTCTGCGCCCAGAATGCGTGCTTCCGGGACCTCCTTTCGCCGCTTCCCCGGGGTTCCGCCTTACAGCCCGGCTCCCTATGGCTGAGCCTGAGTCCCCGGGGTCTGGCCTAGAACTGGGGTTCAGAGCAGTCGGGGGCCCAGCACAGTCGGAGTTTTATCTCCTTTCCGCTAGGGAAGGCCCGCCAGGCACTCGGCCTCCCTCCTCTCCGGCTCCGTCCTCTCCGCGTCTCTGTACCTTGGCTTTTCCAGTTCCTCCGCGCCTCCTTCTGGTTTTCTCCTTGCTTCTCGCTGTAGAATTTCCAGTCAGTCAACCTTCCTGTAGTTCTGGGCAATGTCCGTTTTATATTTTAGTTGTATTTTATTGAAATTGTTGTGTGCGGCTGCGGCTAGGTGTTCACCTGGGCGCAGCCATCTTGGATCCTCTGAAGATATATCTATTTTAGTTGTTTTTTATTGAAATTGTTGTGTGTGGCTGCGGCTAGGTGTTCACCTGGGCGCAGCCATCTTATCCAGTTACTCTTTAACCTACTATCTAATCTGAAGTCAGTATTTATATCTCTCTGCTGGAACTTATAATGACAAAGGGATAAATGGCCTCCTCGTTATTAGATCTTTAAACATCTCTCTTGGTCTCTTCCTGTCTCTCTGTAGTCTTTTTGCTATTCCGTGTTCCTTGGTCTTGACTGGCAAGAACTTTCCTACTCACCTCCCCCCCCCCCCCAATATTCCTGGAACTTGGTATTCCTCGTGATTCTTTCATTAATCTTCCTACTTTACATGTACTTTTTCTGGATTATTTTACTTCGGTAGCTTCAACTATCACCTAGTTCCCAATGACTTCCCAAATCTCTCTATTGACCTGATCTCCTGACTCACTTTCCATGCCAAACTAACCATTATTTGCTCCGAAACACTTGCTATTCCAATTTCTTACTCTGCTTAGTGATATTATTAATTGCTAAAGTCTGAAAGCTCAACTCACTCTAGTGAAAAAACTCAGGAGGAATTTACTACTCATATTTTCCCAGATTAAACTACTAGTGAATAAAACATGATCACTGAATGCTCATGCAATGTTACATAATATAAATCAGAGGCCAGAAGCTGGTAGTCCATCTGTGCCAGTGTTTGTAAAATCAGGAAGTATCACAGGAAATACCTCAATAACTTTCTTTTCCTAAAAAATGGGGAGATCTGCAACGAGGTATAGCAGAAAAGGGCGCAATACTCCACAAGTTTGTCATAACTCTCATTTTCCTGTTATGGTCTGATTTACTTTGCTTATTATATCACCTACTCCATTCTTGCTTTTTTTTAAAAAATTGATTTGTAGAGAGAGGAAGGGAAAAAGAGAGGGGGAGAAGGAGAGAGACACATTGGTAGGTTGCTTCCCACACACGCCTTAACTAGGGATCGAACCTGCAACCTGAGTATGTGCCCTGCCTGGGGATCGAACCTGTACAGGACAACGCTCCTACCAACCAAGGCAAACCAGCCAGGGCTCTGCTGCATTCTTGTGGTGAGCATTTGTCTTTATAGGCCCTTGAGCTTGCAACCCTGGTATCTATGTATGTCACAAGAATTTAAAGAAACAATTCTGCAAAAGAGGCAGAAACTTAGCTGATTTTAAATAAGTATATATGGATCAACAGTTGAATGTAGATATCAGAAAGATAAAGTACATCAACATGGAGGGGAAAGCACAAGGTATGTATAGGAAGTTGCAGCAGCAACCAGCAACTATATACTCCAGGGAGAGTGTGGCATAATGCTTCGGAGTTAGGGTTTAATCCCCCAGTCTACCACTTAGTGTTGAAGTACTAAGCCAAATCAATTAAGATGCCTAAATTTGTGTATCCCCAGCTACTGAGCTACTGAATCGGATTTCCTGATTTAATGAAATTTGTTAGCATAGTTATAGTACTCAACAACTTCTCTCTCCAGCACCCTAATTTCATAGCAGAAGAACTGGGCCATAGGTTGGTAAAAGTGACTTGTCCAAGTTTACAGTGAGTGCGTGCATATGTGTATGTGTGCATATGTATGCGTGTGGGTGTGTGTGTATACATGCCTGTGTGTGTGTATACATGCCTGTGTGTGTGTGTGTGTGTATGGTGTGTGAGAGAGAGAGAGAGAGACAGAGAGAGAGAGGGAGAACCCCCGCCCCTCAGGTCAGAATTATGTTTGCATTTATATCCTGTCCACCATACGAATAACCTTATTCAGACAAGAGCTGCTATGTTGTTAGAACAGAAGGAAGTGACATGTAGCATCAGAGTTTAGGTTTAAAAATGTTAAATTTCTGAAATAATTTTACACATAGGTTTCCACTTATTTTTGGTAATGATAAACATATTACAACAACATTAGGTTTCCGATAACGTTTAAAATCTTCTAAAATGGCAATTCAGTGAAATATTTAAACCTTCTAGGCTATAAAGACCATTACATTCTTTAGGTGGCTGCCTCCTGACCCAGTGTGTCTTGTTCTTTGTAACAAAAGACAAACTCATCAGCCTGCAGCTACTTCTAAGTGAAGTCGAGTACTGTGCTTTTTCAGTATTTAGCTTAAAAGATCTCTGGCCAGCAGACTACAATGTTTGTTTTATGATTGCCCGCTGAACGAGGATAGTTTGTTTCCAGATGGTGCCCTTCCTTCAACCTGCACAGTCTCTCCTTGTTCGGAGCTATTCCTCTCCTGCTGGTCCCACTCCCCGCACCCCTGTTTTAAGGCCACAGAGAGGAAATCCTGGGGAGGAGACTTCCCCACGCCCCCAGTCTCCAGCAATTTTTTGGTGACGTAAGATGTGGGCTGAACTTGAGTCTGCTGAGAAAGAGGGAATCACTATTCGAGGGCACTGTGTATGCAGTCTGGTCAGCTGCAGCTGGTTACAGCGTTTCTCCATGTGGCAGACAGAGCAAAGCCACACGCTTTCTCTGCTGGATTAAAGACAGCCCGCAGACCAGAACTTCCACTCCACTACTTAAAATGACATAGGTGGCTTGTCAAATTCAATTGATTAGTGTGGTAAGAAGAAAAAGAAGCTCCTTATTACAGCCTGGACTCAGCGGCCCAAAACAAAGATGCAGTTGCCATTAAAGTCACAGATGAACAAACTCCTACACTGATTTTTAAAAGCAAGAATAAGAGCGGCAAGTTTCTGGCTTTTCTTTACCAACAGATGCAAAAGGTATTTTAATGCTTTTGTTTTTACTTAAAAATTCTAATGTATGTCAAAATGCATAATGATTTTACATCTGTCATAGAAATTTCAAAATCTCTTATTAAACAAAGAATTTTGGAATACACTAACATTTATTTAATCTGGAAAAGGTTTTGTTTTTCAACTTTATGTAAAACCTGGTCATTACGTACTTTATGGTGATTAATGTGCTATTTTTCAACTTAATGATATTTAGTGACATGCTTTTAGATTAATGCATGTAAGTTGGCTTTCTGAAAACAAGTGCTATAGTGACACTAGATAGAAACGTTTAAGATTTATGTATAAGGTCTATATTTATAGCATAGAGATTAAAAACAAAGGAATACAAACTTAAAAGTTAGAAACATTAGTCTTCACATATATACAGGGTGTGAAGATTTATATGCTGTTAGATATCTTAAACTACAGCTAAAAAATACAGAAGATATAAAATTAACTGAAAGGCTTTGCAACAAACCTCATTATGGTATAACTAAATGTCAGCAAAAATCCTTGTAATGATATTTCGTGCTAAAACTCAAAATCTTAAATATCTTCCCAGGTTTACATGTAACAGTAATTTAACTTGGGTAACAGAAATAAAAACTATTATAATCGAATTAAATTAAAATAGCAAAGTTATTGATATGTAAACATCGCTAAAATCTTACAGATTAGGACTGGGGAGAAAAGGAAAATGTGATAAAAGTATTAGGTAAGTCAGCACTGACAACAGAAAGTAAAACCCCAAAGATACAGTTACTTAAATATATGATTAAAAGACAGAAAACGTATTTACTTTATACAGAAATAATTTTGGTAACCAAAAGCAAGAGTGTTCTTTCAATATTTCAACTGGGGCTTTAATTGTATTATGAGAATTATTAATGCCTGGTTACTAATTAGTAAGCTTTAACATGAAAAATACTTGTTTGTTATGATTTGGGGATCTTCTGTCCTTTTAAATATTTAAGATACTAATTTTAAGTATCTTCAATAACAAATAACAATAAAGCTAAGATTTCTCCAACTTCAGGTCCTTTCCTTACACATTCTTAACTCTAACCACTGGGAAGATCTCTGTGAAATGTGTTTCACCAGAGATTCTGATAAAATTTCCAAGCAATACTGGATGTGAAATACTTGCCATCTTTTCATCGTTTGCTATGCAAAGTGCAGGATCTCATTAGATCTCAATTCGTACTGAAGCCCGAGGATAGCATTTAATCTAAAACCCAAAGCACACAGACAGCTAGTCTCTTCCTAGAACACAAAAACACAAATGGAAATTCTTTATCTAAGCTATCTCCAATGCTTCCTAAATTCAAGTTCGCTGCCTTATGCTGTTTTCAGGGCATGGCACAGGCAGTGAGGTGCCTCTATATGTTTACCAGCTGAAAGGAAGTCAATTTCTTCTCTCTACTAGCTGGCACTGTAGCAACTATGAAGAGGAAAAAAGTACCAATAAAGTTAACACAAAGCATGGAAGACTTTCCCCCCAAAAAACAACCAAGCAAAGACAGATTTAAACCTAAGTATACTGTAACTAATTTATAACATTCTCTTGGGATCTAGGAAAATTTTTACCATACACAGAAAGGTTTTATGAGGTAACACAGATTTATGGATCTTTCACTTTTAAAACTGAACATATGTGGGAAAATATTAAATAAGAGAATGTTTCAGAAAATGTAACAGTAACTGTATTTTTAAAACCAGTTCTTTACCCATGACGTAGCTCAGTCTGCTACTTAAAAATTTGGCTCCTTACTCTGTTTTAGATGACAACAAAGTCAGTACACTTTTGTAAGGATAAGGGAGTTGTATTTATTTTTTTTAAATTTTAATTGCCTCCTCTAAATACAAATTTAGGTCAGATTCTCTTACGGTAGACAGTGACTTCGGTCATGATTTAATGAACAGGAGCCAATACATAGCTAAGGCAGAGAGAATATATTTAAAGGAAGCTATTGTTATTTTAATTTATCTTTGTTCTTCTGTGAAAAACTGATGTAAAGTCATAACAGTCTTGGATTATATGCTTAGTTGTTCTATAAAAATCTGTGTCTGGTAGGAACTCAAGCTTTTCAAATAGAAATATTGTTCATAAATTCTACTTGTTTTGAAGATTCATACTTCTTTCTAAAGTTTCCTTGTTTTTGGTAGCTTATTTCATAGATTATTAAAATGATTTCATGATCCAAGAAATGAGGGGACCTGAGCACGAGGTGAGTAACTACAGGAGAAATCTGTGCATCTACCCAGGAGGCTGAGGGCTTCTCTTTTACTGTCCTTACTTTGTGCTTTATTTATTTTTGCCCTCAGTTTTTAAATTAAACCACATCTGAATTTCATAAATCCATAAATATAACGAGAAATCTTGTATTGGTTTTCTGTGTGGGTAACTCCATGTAGTAAAGCCCTTTTAAAAATAAAATAGAAGACTCTTAAATTCTAAAATGTCAGAAGGCGAAGTACAAAAATAAAAAACTAAAAGTATTCATGGACGTATACGTTTGATGAGCAGTCAGCAACAGAAGGCCTTTAATATACATATGAAATATTATTATGCTCACCCTTACTATCTAAACTATTTTATAAAAGGACAATAATTCCCCACACTCCATCCATTCTATATTTTCATTACCCTTCTCCCCCTATTTGGAGAAAAGAGACACTCTGTTGTTATGAATGACCAGGATAAAAACCACAGGTCTAGAGAAGTCACAAGAAGATCTGAATCCCACGTGAGTGTTTTAGCTTCTCCACGACTTTATTCCTTTGCAAAATGGAATGTGCCAAGTAAATATAAACACAGGGGGTTGATGTAGTGCTGCTGGTAGAAAAAGGAGAGAACGTGTTGCCATGTGATGTAGTGGTTAATGAAAAACGTGGGCCCTGGAGTTTCTGCCTGGGTTCAAACGGTGGCTCCATCTCTCAGGAGCTGCGTAAGCACGTAATTCTGGCTGCCAGTTTGTCTGAAAACGAAGATCATGACAATCTACCTTCGAGGACTGTAATGAGAAGCAGATGGTTTAATCCATGCGAAGGGCTTTAAGCCATGCCTGGCATTTAGCAGGCATGCAGTAAGTAGGATGGCACTGTAATTAGCACTAACGGGCACAAACAACCTGGGCCCTAGCTTCTCCAATAAGTGACGCCTGGTGGAAAACAAGCAGAAAAGCTCTGTTTTAGTGTCTCCACTGCCATTCTTCCACAAGAGCAGACAGGAATGCGGTGTACAGGAGAAGGTGGGTTACACACAGCAGGTGCTGAGGAACCTGATGGAGGGACACGTCCTCTCTGTTGCTCCTCTTTAGGGAGGTAGCTACCGAGAAAGGGAGAGGCTTCGGTTCTTGGAACTAAACTGGTTCTAATGTAAGTTCTCACAGAAACTACAGCATAGAGGACAAGTATTTCTCATCTGCCACGGGAAAATCGACACACCCCAAGCCAGCACACGTCTAGTGTGTATGCCACTGCCATAAACGCTCACTGGAGAGCCAGGGAACCTGAATTCTTGACCTGGCTCCAACAGCACCTGCTTGTGTGGCCCGGGCCCTCACCGGGCACTCAGGCCCAAAGAGGTTCTTGACTGAGGTGGTCTCCAAGGCACTTCCCAACTTTAACCACCACACTCATCACAGGTAGTTCCTTTCCTTGGTAATGGTCATAGAAAGGTAACATTTTTCTAAAATACAGTTAGGCAGAATGAACCTGCTGAATTATGTATCAGCTTAGAGCATATATAATATTATGGTTGAGAAACATGATTACCCACAATAATGACTGTACGCATGCTATTATTCTTAAACTTGTCCCCAGTCCCAAAAGGACATGCTATAAAACAACAACGACGGAACACCGATGCTAAACCTTTTCCATTTTAGCTTTACCTAAAAATGTTTCTTGAATTTGGTAGTTTATAAAGGTATTCATCCAGAGGGCTAATTCGATCGAAAGTGCACAGGATAAATAGAAAACACTGACTAGTAGTCACCTAGTAACTGTAAAACTAGTTAGGGAACACTGTTTTAATGAACGCCTTACAGACACTGTGTGCCGTTTTAAGAGTTTCCAGGTAGTGAGTAAGCTTTTTAAAAGCCAGAAAAGTCTGCGTAGGTGCCTCTGCCCACAGTGGGCACGCACTGAGCTGGGCACAGAAAGCAGGAAGGAGGCACTTGGAAAGGTAGCCTCTGAACCCTAATTTTTAAACAAATGCGAAGGTGCTGTGATATGAACTTGAGAAATTAATAACTTTGATTCTGGTCCAATTTGTTAATGGATGTTCAGTCTTCCCCTTAGGTACTTTTTTACATCACTGACTTTAAAAGTAGATTACTACTCATTCCTCTTCCTTCTTCCCTTCGCTGGTTTGTTTTGTAGAAGACGTTACCCAAACTCATTTCAAAATGAAGGCTTTTATCTGGACCCTAAGTGTGCTCCTCTTCCTGTTAATGGGCACCGAACACTGCAGAGGAGAATTCAAAATAAAAAAGATAACCCAGAGGAGGTATCCCCGGGCCACCGACAGTAAAGAGGAGGTCAAGAAGTGTGCGTACACGTTCCTGGTCCCCGAACAGAAAATAACAGGGCCGATCTGTGTCAACACCAAAGGGCAAGATGCAGGCGCCATTAAAGACATGATCACCAGGATGGACCTGGAGAACCTGAAGGACGTGCTGTCCAAGCAGAAGCGGGAGATAGACGTGCTGCAGCTGGTGGTGGACGTGGACGGAAACATCGTGAACGAGGTCAAGCTGCTGAGGAAGGAGAGCCGGAACATGAACTCGCGGGTTACCCAGCTCTACATGCAGCTGCTGCACGAGATCATCCGGAAGAGGGACAACTCACTCGAACTTTCCCAGCTGGAAAACAAAATCCTCAACATCACCACAGAAATGCTGAGGATGGCAACAAGGTACCGGGAGCTGGAGGTGAAATATGCTTCCTTGACTGATCTTGTCAATAACCAGTCTGTGATGATCACTCTGTTGGAAGAACAGTGCCTGCGGATCTTTTCCCGACAAGAGCCCCATGGGTCCCCCCCTCTCGTCCAGGTGGTGCCGCGGCACATTCCCAGCAGTCACCAGTACACGCCTGGGCTGCTGGCAGGTAACGAGATACAGAGGGATCCGGGCGATCCCCGAGATCTAATGCCACCCCCTGATCTGCCGACTTCTCCCACCAAAAGCCCTTTCAAGGTACCACCAGTAACTTTCATCAATGAAGGTGAGTTACCACTTACTGTTAAAAATGGAAGTACGGGGTTAATATGTTTTATAGTTGAGGAAACAATTCTCATCTTGGTGAAGTAACTATACATAATATTAAAATTTCTATTTTTGTTTTCTACTAAGAATTGAAAAATAGGTCTCTCAGCTCTAAGTCTATAAATAAGTATAAATGTTTTCACTAGCAAAACAAAACAAAACAAAACAAAACACACACACACACACACAAAAAAAAACAAAAACAAAAAAAAACACACAAAAACAAACCCAAACCCTAAACTCCAAACCTAGAATTCATCCTAAGATCTCTACCTCTCGTCCTTAATTTCATTCTTTCCTTCACTCAGTAACAGTCACTGATCCAGGTGCAAAAATAAGCCATCTTTGTTGCAGTTTAGTAAGCTCATTGCTAATTCATTTGTGTTCAGAGTCAGAACTCTAGTTTTGATCCAAACTATTTATGTGAGTCTAGAGGATAGGAACTTCCTCAATTACTGGCAGTGTGGCCATGGGCGGAGAATTGCTCTCTACCTCAGTTTCTTCATCTATAAAATGGAACTCAGATGTTATAATAGCCTGTCAACTAGCCTCCATAACTCCATTTTATCTCTCCATGAGAATATATTCTACATGCCCAAAAAATCCATCTTCTTTAACCACCACTTTGATAACATCACACTTCTGCTTACATGTTCCTCAACTGCAAACTGAAAAAGTCCAATTTGTTTAGCCGGGTAAGACTAATATCCTCAAAAGATCCATCCTACTTCTTTAGCTTTCCTTCTATTGATTTCCTTTACCCGCTTCAATAAAATGGATCAAGTCACTGTCTTCTAACGATTCAAATAATAAGGCCCAGACTAAAAGAAGGAAAATAAAATAAAAGTAGCTGCTCCTCCTTGAAGCCCCTATGACTCCCATAGGCTTGAAGTGATTGCCTCCCCCCATGAACATCTCTTCTCTCTGTAAAACATTTCTCATATTAGCTCTTGAATTATCAGTTATCTTTATATATACACACAGGACCTATACACGTATAAAAAGATGCCCTCCTACTATAAGCTCCTTCTTGATAGATGGGTATTGTGTCTCATTTGCAGATGCTAAATAGATGCTGACTGACTTAATATTCCATTTTTATACAGCTTCTTCAAATTGTGTCATTTCAAAAACCTTCAAGAAAGTACTTTATGCATTCTATATACTGGGTTCATTCAGTAACAATAGGCTAGAGCACCATTAAATTGTGTAAATGCTGATCATTATTAATATCTCCACCACCTTTGTTTTCCAAAGGAAAGATATGTACAAAATGATCCACGGGGTATAGAAAGAAAAATATATTTTGTATATTCTTTTAAAAATGTATATATTTTTATAAGCTTTTAATGTACACAAAATCAGTATAGTAGTTTATACATATGCTTTATGAATAAACATAATTGAAGCATGTGGATTTTAATAAGCTGATGGGTGTACAGTTATGTACACATGGAGACAACCGTCATGGAGTATTTTCTGTGGGTGCTGAATGTTAAGTGGATAGTATCACCAATTCTAGAAGAAATAAATACTTACATATTCATATGCCGACACACTAAACAATACTTATCTGAAATGAGATATCAGTTCTAGGTTTTATTATACATTGAGCTACAGTCCAAGAAAAATCTAATATTATGGAATTACATTCCATGCTAGGGATTCAGCATATCAAAAGTCCCATTAAACAAGACTTTTTGCTTTAATGAAACAATGGTATATATCCCTACTAAATCAATATTTAAAATGTAAAAGTTAAGAACAGGAATAACTTTTTTCTGTTATTATTTGTTGTTATAAGCAGACATTAAGTTTTTAGTTATTTTATTCTAGAAATGTCTGTCTCTGAAATCCAAGGATATATTAATTACACTATAAGAATGTTCAATAGTACACTAATGAATATATAAGAAAGTGCACAGAATTGAGAAAATGTGTTTTCTTTGTTATTGACCTTGGGTAAGTCACTTTGCCTGCCTCTGTGTTCTCATCCAGTCCAACCAATGCTCATGTACAATGAGCATTGGTTGGACTGGATGATTCTAACACCCTTTTTAGATCTAATATTCTGTGATTCTTATCAACTATAACTTATTACAAGAAACAATATTTTCTTTTCTTAATAATGTGCTAAACTCTCATAATATCCCATGGACTGGAACATATGTCTAAGCTGTTTGCACAAAGACTGCGAAGATGGGGGCTATTGTTGTACTTACATATGCTTCGAACACCAAGAAGCTCAGATTACTGGTCTCTACATGTAGGCTGTACATTATCATTTTAAAGTCTTTAAATACAACAATTTTATGTATTCTTTAAAATGTGTCTTAGTCACAAAAGTGAAATACATACAATTTCATTTTTTTGAGGTACTTACAAGAGTCAAATTCCTAAGGACAGAAGGAAGAATGGGGGTTGCCAGGAGCTGGGGTGAGGGAGGGAATGGGAATTGTAGAATGAGGTACAGAATTTTCAGTTTTGCAAGCTAAAGTAAGTCTGGAGACTGGTTGCACAGTAATGAGAATGTACTAATGCCACTGAGCTGCACACTTACAAATGGTTAAGTTGGTAAATGTCATGTTATCTATATCTTACCATCATTTTTTTAAAAGGTGTTTTAATGACAGTTTTATATTTTCTTTTAAAATGGTCTTTAAAAAATAACAAACTTATTATGAACTTATAGGAAGTAATGGCATAATATTGTTAGTTCAACATAACTTATCTCCAGGCACACTACCTTCCCTCTACTGTAAAAACAAAATGTTTGGGAACGGCTACACTCTGACAAACTGCCATCAATAAAATGCTTAGCAGTCAATGTTACTTGGTGGCTGCACTTTAGGTCAGTCTTTTACAGAAGAAAACACCACTCTTTCACAAATGGAACCACTATAAAAAATAAGTTCATCCCTTACAGATAAAGGGCGTTGTGAGCTTCCCTGCAGAGTGTTAGAGCATAGACCTCAATGCCAGGAGCCTTGGATTCGGGCAAGGCTTTTCTGAGACCGGGCTGCCTCTTTTGTAAAAGATACTGTTGTGATGATTAAATGAGGTGAATCATGAAAAAAATGATTTGTGTGTGGCCTGACCATCACTGATGATAATTTTTGTGGGTGCACTTCTCTGAATGTGCTTTGCTTTCATATGTAAAAGGTCATAAAAGTGAATTTAAAGTTAAACTTGAAAAAAATCATTAGAAACCAAAAGTATGCTTTTAAGTGCACAATAAGATAATTTTCAATGATTTAAAACGTTTCCTATTTATAAATTTTAAAGATGCAATTGGTTTTAGTGGAATACTTATATTAACAGTTAAAACAAACAAACAAAAAATAAAGAAGACTGGTGGATAAGCAAAGGACCCATTAGAATATAATTCTATTAACTAATTATGAAAAACAATAGGTAAGTTCTTTAACAATTTCAAAAATAAAAGCTCAGGTTGGTAACTGCATTTTGAATTTAAAGATTAATAAAGTAATTCATATTATTACAAGAAAGAATCTATTATCACTTTAGATAATAGTATCTGCCTCACACTTCTCATTCCAGAAATACTGTCAAATACATGTACCTTATACTTAACTCAAACCCAATTTGAGAGTTTACCTTTCAAAAGATTTTACTTGCTGACTAATTATCTGAAAGCTCTAAATTGGTGGGTTTTGGGTTTTTATGTCCTGCTTCTCCTATCACAAAGAGAATAGTATTTGGACAAAGTAAGAAAATGAGAAATTTAAAAATAAAAAAGGCAGGATTCTCCTTTTTGCTTAGGTAATTAGTTTGTAGAATAAGGGCAGGTATGTTAAAGATGATTCCTAGCACAAGTGTTATTCAAAGTATGGCTTTTTTTTTTTTTTTTTTTTTTAAATCTTTACCTGAGAATGTTTCCACTCATTTTAGAGGGAGAGGAAGGGAGAGGAAACATCAGTCAGCTGCTTCCCGTACACACCCCGTCCGGAGATGGAACCCGAGGCCTTTCAGTGTACGGGATGATGCACCAGCCCACTGACCCACCAGCCAGGGCTGAAATCTTTTATTTAATTCACTGCTTTGTTCAAAATGTGGGTTCTTTATGCTCTATACCCGCTGGAAAATTACAGGTCAATATTTTTCTTTCTATGAATCAGATCTATTAACTGGAATTCGTTAGCCCTGTACAAACTTTAATCATCAAAAAAACTGAGCCAGAAAGAGATTGGTCCTTCAAATTCCATGTACAGAATTCTAGTTTCTTGCCTAGATAAGAATCAAGGTGTGTGTCAAGGAGACGAAGAATATCACAAGATTATCCAATGTAAGAAATGGGTTAATAAAATTCCTATTTTAAAGCAAAGGTACTTCTATATCCATTGAACCACTATGAACAAATTCCTAAATAATTTGTCAATTAATTTCTGATAACATTTAAATGAACAAGTTATATTTGATCTCTCAAAAAGAAAACTGGTTTTTTTCTACCAGTCATTTAAGAATTCCCACTAAGCAATTTTTTTTTTACAGTACAGAGAAAGTAGTAAAACATATAAGAATGATTTGTCCTAGAGCAGAAAGTAAATGAGATATGTAAGTAATGAGAAAATATTTCTGCCATTCTTATATTTACTATCTTTACTGATGAGAAAAAAGGTAACAATAAGCACTACTTTTATTAATTGTATCCACATGTACTGAAGGAGAATTTCAACTAAATTTTCCTGAGCCTTTATATCAACTAAGTCTAACAGGCATCCACCTTGTAAATATGAAGCCCTCTAAAAAAATGTGGGTTGAAAATTAAAGTTGAAGATCATTTTAAATTTGCATAAATTGAACCCAGAATTCTTTCATGTGTTTAAACATCCAAGGGCATATTAAGTAGCAGAAAGAAAAAGGTATTTTATAAATATTCTGTCAACGTTTAAAACCTTGGTGTTTCTAAATATTTTATAGCACTGCCCTAGCTGCTTTGGCTCAGTGAACAGAGCATTGGCCTGTGGACTGAAGGGTCTTAGGTTCATTCCGGTCAAGGGTATGTACCTTGGTTGCAGGTTTGATCCCCCCCCCACAGGAAGCAACCAAACGATGTCTCTTTCTCACATCAATGTTTCTCTCTCTATTTCTCCCCCTCCCTTCCACTTCTCTGAAAATCAATGGAAAAATGTCCTTGGGAGAGGATTAACAACAAGAAACAATAAAATAAATATTTTACAGCATTTTAAATAACCTCATGAAAGTCCAACTCATGAATATATACTTAAATATAAACTGTCCAAGCTATACTCCAATGTGTGCAGAGTAAATATTTACAAAGATTATATTCATGAACTAAACAATACAGAGATGACAGAGATTAAGCAAATTTCTGAAATGAGTTATCTGTATTGCAAAAATCACTTCATGCTTACATTAATTACAGCACCAATAGGTTTTAAAACAAGATATTCTGACTACTCTGAAAGTGACAACTTAGAAGACTCTGGCTAACTTTGGAAATAACCCTGATGACTACTTTTAAACCGAGGAAACCAGTTTCAGCCCCAGCGTCTACCTTGCGAGCTCTCAGTGGCACCCTCAGTCACTCACACTGAGGCCCGCTGAACTCAAACTCCTTTGGAACAGAGCCCTCCTCTGCCTCCACCTCAGCGCATGACTGGTGTGCTAGCTCCGCCAGCCTACTAACCTATCTTTGAAACTCGGCTCTGATACAGGTGGACTGATCTCTTTCCTAAAAATCTGGGTTAGCTATTTCTTAGCCAGTGTTCCCATGTGCACAACCTGGATGTATAACTCCATCAAAGCACCTGCCATGCTATAGCGAAATTCTCTCTTGCCACTTCCCCACTTTACTCTATGGCTGTTTCTTTACCGCTTGAGCCTAAAACAGTTACTAGCCTATAGCAGAAGCAGCAAAGACATTTCTGGAAAAACGCAGAACTGAGCAACCACTGTGGCTTTTTTTCATTTAGTTCAACAAATACTTGAGTGCCTAATTGGGTTTAAACTGCTGATAGACAACCAAAAGATACAGTTCTTGCCCATGGGAAGTTCCATGAATATATAAGTGAATATATTGCCATGCATTACATGGAATAATCTAAGAATGGACTTGGAAATCATACTTCACTTTTCCTTCCATTTCATTCCCACATATGAAATTTAAATTCTCTAAAGTTTATACTGTTTGAAATACAACTTCTCTACCTTTCTCTGATTTGACTACAATGCATGTTTCTGTAATGTCAAGGAGCTCACATGTGACCAGCAAAAGAGGGAGAATAATATCAGTAAAACAAAGGGGTCATTTTGGTTCACATGGGATTTTCCCAAGCATTTCATCAGTTTTATGCCACAAGCTAACTGAACAGATAACGAAGTATGCTAACAGCTAACACTGGCTGTTATGTTCAGTGCATGATTTTGCAGAACATGGGTTTTTCAGAAATACAATATTTTGCTACAGTAGAAATGACCGTGTGTTCATCTTTGAACAGCCACCTTAAATCTATAAACGAAATAAGCATATATTTATTAAATTGTTAAATACTTAGATTATTAAATAAGTTATGACTGTGTGAAGGTTAAAAAGGAAAAAGGGAGAGAACTAACAGTTACTGACAATGACTACTTTAAGTGTTGCATCAAAAGGCTGTGAACAGCCCTGGCCAGTTTTTCTCAGTGGTTAGATCCAAAAATGTGGCTATCACCAGTTCACGAGTTAGACACTCAACAAATGATTTTAAAAAATGCTTTGTCATCTGAGACAGGAAGAAATTATTAGTGAGTTAAAAAAATTAGAGACTCCATAAAACTCTAAAATGTAACAGCAGGTCAGAGCATGGTCTCTGGGATTAGAAAGAAATAGTTTTAAGTCTAGGGTTTACTACTTTATTCCGTATGGGACCTCAGTCTATAGTTAACTGTCTCATCTATAGAACATCTGCAAACTATCACAGGGTGATTGTGTAGATTCAATTTAAAAATTACTATTAGTCATAAAATTGATACAAGTCTTTAGAAAGGCACACTGCCAACATTCCTGAAATGGATTCTCATGGACTATTTGTTGCACAGGGGGAAAAATTAGAAGATTTTACAAGTTTGGGAAACCATGGTTTATTTCAGGGCTTTTCAGTCTTTAAAATGTGAATGTACAGTCTGAGTTTCCAAAATGTTAATAGAACATTCAGCAATCCTAAAACTCATCATGGCATGATGTTTTTAATATTTCAAAGAACTAGTGTATTCCACTGAAATCAAATTTTAAAAACGGTAAATTGGGAAGTATGGAGACCTGTAAAAGTTTCACACTCTCCTGATCCAGATCAATCCCACAAAATTTTTGTAAGAAAATATGAAAAAAATGAAACATAAGAAGACACTTTGCTTAGTGTCATTTCTATCCGCAAAAATCAGATAAAGCCTCAATGTCCAATGTCCAATTTCAGCGGAATAAATAATATGTCAACATCGTAAATGCTAGAATGCAGACTATGGAAATGTTTGTTAAAATAAAAAGACGGAATCCAACTTTCTATGTGTTATGATGATAACAGTATAAAAACGTGTGATTGTGTACAAAGACTTGCAAGATCAGTGGAAAATGACACAAGTCACAGTGGGGCTGTGCTAATCCTTTTATTGAGCCTTTAACTTTTATAGCATTGTGTACACAATAGACAAAAAGTGGTTTCTGTAAAGAAAGATACAAAGGTAAGGCTCCTGATTAAAAACTATTTTAATATGGCTGTTTTCATATTAAGTTTCCAGCCAATCAATATTTCAATTACAGGACCATTCAAAGATTGCCAGCATGCAAAAGAGGCTGGCTACTCAGTCAGTGGAATTTATATGATTAAACCTGAAAACAGCAATGGACCAGTGCAGTTATGGTGTGAGAACAGTTTGGACCCTGGGGGCTGGACTGTTATTCAGAAGAGGACAGATGGCTCTGTCAACTTCTTCAGAAACTGGGACAATTATAAGGTAAGTTAGTGAATCAGACAAGAGAACAGTACCCATTCTATATATTAGACACAGAGGTAAAAAAATAACTATCCATGTTTTTTGTTACTGACATTTGTAAAAAAAACACACACACAAAAAAAAACACGGTTCTCATCTCTAGTTTTAAAGTAAAAATTAAAATATAAAAAGGAAATCGAAGATGCATTTTAAAATGACCCCTTTCCATCTGGATGACTCATACATGTAAGTAGTTTTTGCAAAGACTTCTCCTAATTCCATTTTCTAAGGCAATAACTGCTTGTGTACAACCACATCTGTACCCATCAAGTATATTTTTTTATTTTTATTTATTTTATTTATTTTCTTAAGTATATTTAAACAATAATATAAAACATAGGACTTTAAAAAAATTACCCCCTTTCTAGGACTAATTACCTCTGATAACCATATTAATGTTTTGTTTTTAATGAGTGGTATATATTTTCCATTTAAGTATGGCAGATGGTAGAAACTATATTTTCTATGGTTAATAATTCAGTCAAAACTGTGAAATAACATGTGATAATTCACTCTTGGTGACAAGTTAAGAGAAAGCAAAACAAAACTAAGTGACTATGAGGGGGCTCATAAAAATGGGGTGACTACTAAAATGGAATTTCACATTACCACTTAAATGGCCAATGTCATTATGCTCAAACGTTTAAAACCTATCTATTAAAACATGTACTATCTCTACAGTTATTTATGTACTCATGCTTTTTTTTTTTAATTCACAGAAAGGGTTTGGAAACATTGACGGAGAATACTGGCTTGGATTGGAAAATATTTATATGCTTAGCAACCAAGATAATTACAAGTTGCTGATTGAATTGGAAGACTGGAGTGATAAAAAAGTCTACGCAGAATACAGCAGCTTTCGCCTGGAACCTGAAAGTGAATTCTACAGACTGCGCCTGGGGACTTACCAGGGAAATGCAGGGGACTCTATGATGTGGCACAATGGCAAACAATTCACCACACTGGACAGAGATAAGGATATGTATGCAGGTGGGTAGGAGAAAAGCTGGTGTGCATTCTTTGTAGAATCACCACTCTCTGTGATTGAAATAGAACCTGTTATTAAAGTGTATACCACTCAAAATCTTTCTAGAAAGATCATTTCGGACTCAGTCAAAAGGAAAATAATCTGGAAAGGAATAGCTTTAGGATCTCTTCTACAACTGTAAGGCAGTGATTTTCAACCTTTTTCTTCTCATGGCACACATAAATGAATTACTAAAATTCTATGGCACACCAAAAATATATATTTTTTGCCGATCAGACAAAAAAATGTGGATGATTTTGATTCATTCACACCAGACAGCTATTGTATTGGCTGTTGTCATTTTGTTATTTGACAATCAAAGGGAAAAGATGTCAGTGCCTGACTAAGGAATCAGGTACTGCTTTTTTTTTTTTTTTTTTTTTTTTTTTTAATTCTTGCGACAACCAGTTGAAAATCGCTGCTGTAAGGCAATCTCAATGCATGGCCTCTGTGAAGATGGTTTTAGTGGTCTAAGTTGGAGGGAGGGGAAATGGAAAACAAAACAAAAAGGCACTCATCTTGAAATAAAACTGTCAACTGCCTAAAATTCACAACAAACACTAACTGGACACCTCCCATGTGCCAGCTGGTGCTGAGGACACAGCGTGAATGAAGTTCCTGCCCTTTGGAGCTTGCTCTAGCCTAGAGGGAGACAAATGCCTCTAAGAAAAAGGAAGCTCAGGAAGTGAACAGAGGGATGGGCAGCAGGGCTGGGGTGGGTGCTTTTTTCTGTGAGAAGCCATTTTCTGAATAAAGAGCTATAGGGAGTGAAGGAAGGAGCCACTTGGGTATATCTTCCCTTCCAATCTCTCTCTCACATGCAAATAATACTTGCATTTTATTTACGCTGCTACTTGCAAAAATTAAATTAAATCACTTAAAAAACAACAACAACAACATCAACAAAACAAATCCTAAGCAAGCAAAGGGCAAGGTAAGAAAGTTCCAGTGATCTTCCATGTTCTTAATATTTAAGCAACAGTGACAGAGTAAATGAAGAAACAAATTTATGAAGATAAAGGCTAACGGAAATCAGTAAGGAACACGTACTGTTCCTCAGAAAGAGTTAGGTTTTGGGTGGTGTGCAGAGTACCACACTCAGAAGAAACTTACTCTGATAACTCTGTTTTTCCCTCAAAGGAAACTGTGCGCACTTCCATAAAGGAGGCTGGTGGTACAACGCCTGTGCGCATTCTAACCTGAACGGAGTGTGGTACCGAGGAGGCCACTACAGAAGCAAGTACCAAGACGGAATCTTTTGGGCCGAATACCGAGGCGGGTCATACTCCTTGAGAGCAGTTCAGATGATGATCAAGCCTATTGACTAAAGGGAGACCAGACCGTCTACAACTTAAATAGAACTGTATTTTTCAGTCCCTGAAAATGTAAATTTTACATGTATATGATTTTGCACAATCCATTTCTACAGATATAATTTTTTAAACAAATTTTACCGTACCTATAAAAGAGAATTTATGAATATGGTTTCATTTTCCCTCAATATACAGCAGAATATTATTAGTTGCCATAATCTTAGTTACTTTAAAAATTACAATGACTAAATATGGGCAAACCTTGGTTTTTGCAATGTAAATATTTGCCACAAAGTAAAACAAACATCAGCTTTACTTTAAATCAAAATTGAATACATGTTCGACATCTTTACCAATTTATTTAAAAACTCTGAGATTTTTCTTCCTATGAAAAATTATTTTTAAAGATTTCAGTCAAGTCATACATTTTATTTATAAAAAGACAGGAAATTAGAGAAAACTCTAGTTTTGCCAATAAAAATATGTTTTGCATTAAATAAAAGTTATTTCAAATGGAATCTGTGCCTTTCACATGAAATAATTAAATCTAAATTCATAACAGTATTATTTTATGCAAATTTCCCAGAAGAATTAAGTGACCCACAGTATTAAAATGTTATTTTTAAAACAAACAAACAAAACAATAAATGTAGACAATATTTAAATGGTCAATTTACAAAAAACAGAAATATATAAATACATTTTTTTGTAAAATCTTCATATGATTTGCTGGACAAAAGTGCATGTGTACTTTATGTTGTTATATTAGTAAGATTTTATGTTGTTATATTAGTAAGATTTTAATATTATACAAATGCAGACTATTTAATAAGCCAATGGTCTAACAGAGATATAAATTATAACTCTAAGCTTATTTATAAATTAGAGGCCCGGTGCACGAAATTTTTCGATGGGGAGGTCTGTAGGCTTTGCTGGTGATCAGGACTGATCTATGAGGCCACTGGCAGGGTGATGTGGGAGCCCCCACTGGTATCTGCCTTGGCTGGTCTAGCACCGCCTGCTTGCCAACCCCAACCCCACCCCCCACTGCCGCCGCTGTCGGTGTTGAGCATCTGCCCCCTGGTGGCTAGGGGGCGTCATAGTGACCAGCTGTTGGGTCAATTTGCATATTAGGCTTTTGTTATATAGGAGGATACTTTCCCTCTCTAACTTACTGATTCTTACTATTTGGAAATATCGTGCTATTCAATTCAGAAAGCTTGGGACAGCTTTGCAACATTACTGCATACTTACAGGTAAGACTAAAACAACTGTAAGAACTTTAGGTATTCCCCCAATAGGGAGATTCTGAGATTCAACTGCTTCAGAGCAGAATCCACAGGGCAGCGGTCAGCAAACTGCGGCTCACAAGCCACATGCGGCTCGCGAGCTGCGGTTTGCCGACCACGTCCAAAGGGGTTTGGCTAGTTCAAATGTTAACTCCATTTTATAACGTGTATGTCTTTAACTCATCTTTGTTACCAACCTTCTGAAACAACTTCCTTCCAGAAACATGTCCATTGCTTAGAGCTGACCTTCCCTTAATTCATTTGTGAACTAGTAGTAAAATTTTAGAGAAATCTCATCAGACTTCTGCTCAAACAAAAAGAAAATCCAATCGGAACTGAAGACTATCATTTATTTGAACAACTCAAGTCCACTTGACCACTGTTTTTTCTCTGACACATCTCAAAATAAAACTTCTGGAGAGAAGGTAAGAGAACACTAAAACCTTATTGTGTTTTATTCTTTATTTTACCTCTTCCTCTTAGAATGGTTTTCAAGGCCCTCCTCACCATCCCCAGAACTACCCAACCCCCATCCCTGAAAAATCTGCTCTAAGATTTCTGGGAGGAATTAGATATCTAATTGTTATATAAAATCTTAGTTAAGTAAAACTTTACTAGGGCATTTCATTTATTGATACAACTGTAGCATATCATGTGAACATCCAAACTCAATCAAAGACAAGTCTTAAAGAATTTTCACAGGAGAGGAATATTAGTAACACTAGAATGATGTGCAAGTCAACAAACAAAACTGGGTTGAATGTTAAACTGCCTTGGCTGCTGGGCCTTCTAGTCTCCTTCAGGGAGCTGATACAGCTCTGTTCCGGAGTGTCTGGAGAGCTTAAGGATAACTTATGCAAGTGAACTCCTTGAGACGAAGGAATAAGAATCAGTATTATGTAGTGATTGAGGGTAGTTTCTAAAGCCCAAGCTGCATGCATTTGTGGCCCAACTCTACCATCTACCAGCTGTGCTACCCTGGGCAATTTATATATCTTGCCTCAGTTTTCTTATCTATAAAATGGGGATAACAACAGTACCTTGCCTAGCTCACATAATTAGTGTGAAATCAAGTAAGTTAGGTAATACATGTGGCAAAACATTTAGAATGCCTGACACAGTATGGACTCAGTGGACAGTAGCTATCAGGTTACCACTCATCTACGTACTTTCTTAAAAAAAAAAAAATATATATATGTATATATATATATATATATATATATATTTTATTGATTTTTTACAGAGAGGAAGGGAGAGGGATAGAGAGCTAGAAACATCGATGAGAAAGAAACACCGATCAGCTGCCTCCCGCACATCCCCCACTGGGGGTGTGCAGCTCATCTACATACTTTCTGAAATACTTATTACAGTGCCTTGCACAGAGTAAGTGATCAATAAATGTGTTAAAAGAAATAATATCCAAGTTTTCAGGCATAAAATTACACTGGCCTATGATCTTCATTATAACCTAATAGATCTATGCCAGCTATTATGGCAGATAGGAAAGAGAGTGGACCATAAAAAAATAAAAATTAAGGCAAGAATAGCCATATTAGAAATTTCAGCCTAATGGGGCTCTTTTGTTATTGTTTTTTAAAATTCTCATCCAAGGATATGTTTTTCATTGACTCAACAGAGAGAGAAGAAGGGAGAGGAATAGAGAGAGAGAAACATCATGGTTGCCTGCTGTAAGTGCAATGACTTGGGGATTGAACCTGCAACCGAGGTGAAATGCCTTTGATGGGGAATCGAACTCATGAACCTTCCATCCAAAGGTTGATGCTCTAACCACTGAGATATACCAGCGAGGGCTTAATGAGGATCTTATGAGAGAGTCGACAGGTTGCCTATGTGGTAGGAAAGGCCTAGTAGCTAGCTACTGTGCCGTTTACCTGGAATAAAACCGTGGTTGCCGTAGCTTCAATAAGACTGAGTATAACTTTGGAACTGGCTTACCAAAAGATTCATGTCAGTTATTCTTAATAAATGAAATGGAGCTTATCCTAAAAGAGATTTAGACTCTGCCGCTCTCAGTGGGAGGCATTCAATGCCTAGGAAACTTGGCGTCTCTGCAGTCTACTTTTAAAACTTGAGATTTTGGACAATGCCAATATTAGACACCACCTTGAAATTTAGTTGATATCTATAAATAAACATATCCTTAGGCTTCAAGCCTGGTGGAGTATAAAGGCCAAATTTTCAGTCTAATGTTCACTTGAGAGTTATCATGTGAGAATGCTAATTCTTCTAGCATTATTGTTCTTAGGTCTCCTCCTGGTAATAATATAAAAAGCCTGTAAAATCTTCTGCAATCATGAAAATATTTTAAATTACTTGTAAATGTAATGTAATACTATTTTTATATACTTAATAGTAAGTTAAAGATTATTACACACTAACAAGTTTTTAGTTTTTTATTTTAGGGTCTATGAAAGATAACCAAGTAAGAAAGGATTGATTCCACTTACAATGCCACAATCCCACCCCTTACCTCCAAAAAAGCCACCTAAAAATAAGCTCACTTTTCAATTTTTATCAGTGGGGTTAACAGTTATTATGTTGTAGATCTATAGATAATTATAAGAAAGATTAAAAGATTGAGCTAAATTTCAATCTACATACAAATTCCCAAAATATTGATACAATTTCATATTGTTTTTCTTGAACTATAAGTGAATTACTTAAAATGCATAACTTTGTAAGTCAAATAGCCTCCCTTGTCTAAGTTTCTCCACTTACAAAATATGAACAATATCACTTACCTTATAAATTGTTAATAATTAATTTATAGAAGTATACAGCACATCAGGCATATAGTATAAGTACTGAATGTTAATTATTAAGATTTTCACTATTTCCCAGTTGATGTGTCTCAGTGGTTGGCAATCAAACTGTGAACCAGGAGGTCACGGTTTGATTCCCAGGAAGGCACATGCTGGGGTTGTGGGCTCAGTTCCCAGAAGGGGGTGTGTAGGAGATAGCCGATCAATGGTTCTCTCTCAGTATTGAGGACTCTCTCTCTCTCTCCTTCTCCCTTACTCTGTGAAATCAATAAAGTATCTTAAAAAAAAGAATTTTTATTATTAATCTTTAATTTTTTTCTTTTAAAAAAAATATTTTATTGATTTTTCACAGAGAGGAAGGGAGAGAGATAGAGAGCTAGAAATGTCGATGAGAGAGAAACATCGACCAGCTGCCTCTTGCACACCCCCTATTGGGGATGTGCCCGAAACCAATGTACATGCCCTTGACCGGAATCGAACCTGGGACCTTTCAGTCCACAGACTGATGCTCTACCACTGAGACAAACCGGCTTCGGCTAATTTTTTTCTTAAAAAATTACTAATTATTGAAACATTAACAGTTAGAAGTACCACTGGCAAAGCTGCTGGAATTTGGGAATTACATTAAGTACTGAGATGCAGTACTGTATAGTTGCTATGCATTATTATTATTTTTTTTTTAAAGAGATAGGCTCTTAAAGAAAAACGATGAACACAGGAAAGAAATTAATGCAACCCCTCCCCAGCCTTTTTATATCATAAGCTAATGAGTGATCTAAAATAAACTTCAGAAACTACGTATACCATTAAAGAATGTTAGCGGAATTTTAAATATATAAAAAGAATAAGGATAAAAAAAGGATATAAGTGAGGTAATGGAAAATGAGGATGTAATTCTGGCCAAAGAAAAAGCTAGGCTAGCTGCCATTTGGTTAGAGCTCATTCTCAGGGCTCAAAAGAAAATGCCTGAACATGTTCTAGGATACAATATATAATCTACTGAGAAGAATAAGGTAAAGCAATCCACGGTGTACATTACCTACAAACCAAATCAAAGAGGAAAATGGAATAACACTCTTTAAATACGGAATGCGAGTGACATTTTTTAACCATTAGGCATTTTTGAGGTCAGTTCAGAGCCTTTTATACATTTAACCAAGTACAATTCTACCACTGGGGAAGGAAAAAACACACACCTCAATACCCACGGAGCTACAAAACGCTCTGGACTTCGTTGAGATTATCTGAATAAAAATATGAATGCAAAGCTATTATTTTTGAAAATATTTGTGCACCAGTTAATAGAAGTTTCTAAAACTAAAGAACCATATTTTACTAAGAGATCAAGATAGGAAGAAACTACTGAAAAATAAAGGATCCGATAAAGCCTGAAGATCCTTGTAAATTTAGGCATGCTTTAAACATTCCATTGGCTAAGATGAGGACACCTCAAACAAAGCCTGCAATGACATGCACGTACCACTTCCACAAAACGGGAGATAGAAGATTCACAAGGCTAAAACAGCAACCTCAGCCATGGCTTTAAAGAG